AGTATTTGTCTGTTAGACGTAAGGCTTTGTCCTAAACTCAATGCCGGGTAAAATAAACAAATTTCCTAATAAATTTTTTTTTGTCTTTTCTCCAAACTCAGCGTATGTAACCTGTTACAGAGAGAACTGGGGGAGGCACAGTGATGGGGATGGTATAGAAACAGTTTCTATTTGAGTTCTGGTTTTTAAAAGGATCCACAGATTTCTGCCATTAGAGTAACTTTTTACAGATGATAAATACTTGATAATATGTTTAAGGTGAAAATCATAAATAAAATATTGTTTATTCTTACCAAAAGAAATTGATAAATGATCTTTTCTCCTTGCCTCTTAAAGTGGATGTAAGGAAACCAAATATTCTAAGCCAGAATAAATATTTTAGGAGCTTGGATTTCTCTTTCATATTTATAAACCAACTTAAAGAAAAAAATCATGGTACTAAAGCAATTTACCATGCTGCCCAGTGAGCCACACTCTTCAGTTCCAACATCCTAGAACTTCAACAAGCACCTTAGAGATCGAACCTCCACATTTTCTATTCTTTAGACCAGGGGGCACAAACAGTGTCCTAAAGAGCCTGACACAAAATATTTCGGGCTTTGAGAGGCACTGGCCTGTCACCCCTACTTCACCCACTGTAGTAGCGAAGGGGGAACTCCAGACCACACGAAAATGGGCGCGCTACCCTATAATAAAGCAATCTGCGGACAATGAAATTTGAATTCCGTACAATGTTCACAGGTCACTCAAGTCTTTTGATTTTTTTTTTTCAACCATTTCAAAATATAAAACCATCTTTAACTTGTTAGCGGTACCAAAAGAGGCAGTAGGCTGGGTTTGGCCCACGGGCCATATTTTGCTGACTTCTGTTCTAGACTCACAAGATTCATGCTTCTTCAACCACACGACACGACAAGTCTCCCTAATAGTCACAGACACATGGTGTTTAGCTCAATATTCACTTAAAAACTGGGTGTGAAATAATCCCATGAGCCTCTTTTTTATTAGCTCAACTTGAAAAAACATAAGATCCTAAAGATGTCAAACTTTCACCAGAACTTATGCCAGGCTTACCCATAAAAATAACGTCACCCATCACCCTTTTCTTCACCACACACAATTAACAATTTACGGAGTAAGAAAATAGTTGGCAGTTGTCTTCATAGATGAAGTCAGTGTAGTCTCATTCCTTTGCCAAAAGGCAGAGAAACCAGTTCTTGATGCCTCTTCTCCCCAAGGCTATTCAAGGCCAGTTGATGAAGAATGACTAGGAAGGACAAGCTTTGGCTTCAACGTGGATTTTTAACCAGGAACTTTACTACTTTAAAAATTTTTAACGATTTTTTTAAAGAGCCTTGGTTTTTGCTATTTTTACTGACACTCATTTTAAAAGCAGCAGTGTTTAAAACATTTTAAGTCTAGATGTCTCTATGGAAACCCAAGAGAACTCCGCTTTTATGGCCAATGACTACCTACCTAGATTATACATCCTACTGGATCACCGTGGGCCATCTGTGATACCAGAAACATCTCAGACCTATGTTTCCAAAACTCTCTCATCAGATGTAATTAAATTGATGTAAGTATTAGTTTTGCTGAGGAGGAGAAGAACTTATTTGAGACTTCCTTTTCATTTTTATTAAGACAGCCCTATTTGAAATATTCTTATTACAAAAAGAATTTGTAAATTTCAGCAGACATAATAAAAGAGGAAGAATAACCTGACAGTTGCTCTGAAATTCATATCTTTGATTTTTCCTCCTCCTTTCCACTAATGTCAAATACATTTTCCTTTAAAAATTTAAGTTTCTCTCCCCAGATTGCTTATTCATTGCAAAGGGGGAAAAAAAAAAAACAATAATTATATCGCATAGAACTAAGGTGATCAAAATTAACCGGGTGACCAAAATTAACATCACCAGTTAGGAACTGATGCCCTTTGGGTGCCTTCAGCTGTGATATTCTGAGAACATAACATCTCCTAAAATGTATAACCTGAATCTAATCACGAGAACACACCATTATTGAAAAAAGAGAAAAGTTGGGCGCCTAGATGGCTCAGACGGTTAAGTGTGGGACTCATGATTTCAGTTCAGATCATGACCCCAGGGTCTTGGGATGGAGCCCTGCACCAGGCTCCCTGCTCAGTGGAAAGTCTGCTTCTCCCTCTGCCCCTCCCCCTGCTTGTGCTCTCTGAGAGCAAATCTCAAATAAAGAAATAAAATCTTTTTTAAAAAATAAAAGAAAAATTAAGAGTTCTTTTCTACATTGGCATTCTTGGCTATCTATTTTACCTCTGTAATATTCCAAATACAACACAGGAAGAGATGCTTGTACCATGTAACAAGAAAATGCAAAGTTATTTTAACATAATCTTTTATCAGTGATCTAAGCCTGCCAAAGCATTACACACCACCCATTCTCAGCAGAGTCCACTGCAAAGACCAGCAGACACTGGATACTCTAGCAACTTAGATGCAATCATTTCCTACAAACTCCTCCAAACAGGGCCGTGATTCTAAGACCCTTTCACATCCCACAACTTCCAGATTCATCCCATGCACAAAACAAGTCTCTCAGCAAATCTCTTAGACTGGCACTATCCATGTCAATCAGTTGGATTCTATCTGAACTGTAGCTTCCTAACATTTTAAGCCATGTCTAAGTAGCTAGAGAATGTGGAGCTCAGGGAGCAGGATTACCTCATCATACATCCACAACTCACCACAGCTTTGAAACTGCCTTCAGAAACCCGTAGACTTGACTGACATCTATGCCCTCACAAAGCTCCCATCTCAGCACTAGAGGCGCTGACCGGCAATCTGCCATATGCTGTCTGACCTGATTTTTTCCCCAAAAGCAGAAGAGGAAACTCTGCCTAAGACTAAAAATATAGGAGAGACTTTTCTATAAGTCAATCAATCACTGGAGAGAGAATCAAAAAGGTCGTAACCAAAATTAAAATTTTCGGCCATGCTTAGAAATGAGGAAGCACCCATTCCCCAAAACAAAGCAGAGACAGAATATATGTATATCAGTAAGTCTTTTCTTTCAATCCTTTCTGGTTTCATTTTATTACTTTCTTCACACTTTCAATATTGACAATTTTAAAGCTAAAATGCCCATATACTATTTTGGGCTTTGACTATTTATCCTAGATATTCCCCTTATTATTTTCTCCAAACTTCAATCAATAATGTTACTTAACAAATGTTTACCAAGAACCTACTTGCCATAGATGCACTGGACAAACTTACTGGTCCTTACTGGCACTGGAGGAAAGGTCCCAGGTTTTCTGTCTAAGAATAATCCCTGAAAAAGCGATGATATGAAGACAGTAAGTGCACTAACATCAGCTTGCAGAAAAGCATAAGGAGCCAGAAATGAATTATGACCAACTGCAGAAAGGAATAAACTAGTCAAAGCACTAAAATTTAATGAAGAGATAATTTTTTAAAGTAGGTGAAATTGAGAAGTTACATGTAACATTACTATAGATTTAAAATTATGCATATTCTTCCCCATAAAATTTATCAAATGCAGTTAAAAACACACATGTACAAAACCAAGCAATTATAAATCCTCTGAAGCATGTAACTGTGATTAGCTGCTACTCTCAGCAATATAAAAATACTTTTACCACAATTACATTCCAGCCTGTAATGTAATTCAAAACAAACAAGTCAGACATCGCTCAAATGGCAGAACCAACAAATACAGATGCTTTGCATCAAGGAAATGAATCCACTGAAGAAATGCAACAGGGGCCCGGAGCTGGGCTTCTGGTGGAACAGCGAGGCCCCCTTCTGGGCAGACGCAGTGGAACCCAGCAAGGCTGTGCAAGCTTGCTCGCTCACCAGCGTGGGCCCCTTACTGGCTGCAGTCAGAAGGCTGAGTATCGGGGACTTCCTGCTGCAGAGACCCTTTCCAAGGTTGTGTGCACATTTTTGCATTTTAGCTTTCAATTCTAAATATGGACTTTAATAAAAAGAAATAATTTGATTTCAGATTAAACGAACCATTCTATTTACTTGCACAACCAGCAGTCCCAACCCCAAATGCCATGTCTATCCTCTTTACCCTGTTTACCCTGTTTTTTTTCTTGTTGTCCTAATTCTTTTTTTTTTAAATTTTTTATTTCTTTTCAGCATAACAGTATTCATTGTTTTTGCACCACACCCAGTGCTCCATGCAATCCGTGCCCTCTCCAATACCCACCACCTTGTTCCCTCAACCTCCCACCCCCCGCCCCTTCAAAACCCTCAGATTGTTTTTCAGAGTCCATAGTCTCTCATGGTTCACCTCCCCTTCCAATTTCCCTCAACTCCCTTCTCCTCTCCATCTCCCCTTCTAAAATACTATATAATCTAGGTGGCGTCTCCCCCTGCTACAACAGCAGCTCCATGTTTTGTTTGAGGATTCACTTAATGAATAGAGCCTGGCATAGGACAGCTGCTTGATAATAAAGAAGGAACTGTCTCATTTCCACTTTTACCTTTTACTTTTTTTTTTAAGATTTTATTTATTTATTTGACAGACGGAGATCACAGAGAAGCAGGCAGAGAGAGAGGAGGAAGCAGGCTCCCTGCTGAGCAGAGAGCCCGATACAGGGCTCAATCCCAGGATCCTGGGATCATGACCTGAGCCGAAGACAGAGGCTTTAACCCACTGAGCCACCCAGGCGCCCCTTACCTTTTATTTTTAAGAAAATATTCATCTTCTTTTTTTTTTTTTTGACAGATCACAAGTAGGCAGAGAGGCAGGCAGAGAGAGAGAGAGAGGAGGAGGAGGCAGGCTCCCTGCTGAGCAGAGAGCCCGATGCGGGACTCGATCCCAGGACCCTGAGATCACGACCTGAGCCGAAGGCAGAGGATTTAACCACTGAGCCACCCAGGCGCCCCTCATCTTCATTTTTAAAGAAGGCATAAGGATGGTTTTATGATAGCAATATGCTCTGAGTTAAAAATGACGCTCAAGCACTTGTCTTAAAAATATGCATTTTTTCTGCTTTATAAAAGCAAAAAAACAACAACAAAAAACCTGTTCTGAGGAGCAAACATTCATAGTCTAGATGTACATAACTCTTCTACAGATTCCAAGGAAGTCACGGCCCTCAACCCCTGGGAGAACAGAGTGACGACAAACAATGAAGCATCCAATTCTGAAGAGCCAGGCATAACGCAGGTGTCCCCCGCGTGGTACATCCAGTCCAGACACATGCCAGCCCACTGGGTATGGAGGCACATACGCTGAAACTCAGTACTTCCCTGACCTGGGCACAGTGATTTTTGGCAAGAAGGTTATGCACTGCTTACTGATTTCTAAAACCTCAATCTTTGTTTTTTTCCCCCTTCTTAAAATGTTCTTTAAGCTTACAGAAAAGCTAATCATTGTTCACAACTGGGAGACTTTTTAAAAGTGCTGATTTGTTCCATCAACAGAGCAAATGGGGAGAGATGATTTTCCCAGGAGTTAAGGACATATGTAAACATGATTCAACGATGTCAACAGCTTTCAGTCCAAGAATGTCACCGAGAGGCATCAGCCTTCCATTAGAGCAAGTCAAGGTTTCTGACATTCCTTTTTCCGAACTTTTGACTTGGGTGCTGTGAAAAGAATAGAAAAGGAAAAGAGAAAATGAAGAGGTGGGCCCTTGTCGAGTCTCTTCACACTGATTTGTCTTCAGTGAGGTTACGTTCTGTACAACAGGGGAAAACTGACCATTTGGATTTTCCTGTTTGTAGAAGGTCTTTAACATTTCCACCGCTTCCTCAGCCCGATATCCGGGAATGCACTGATGAAATGAGAAAACTGAGAATGAATTTTGGCATATGAAAATGTGGCCTATATCCCATAAACACAGCAATGTATACATAATTACATAAACTTATTTCAGATAACATTAATATACTTTGGGGATAGCAGCAATGTGGGTAAGTAAGAACATTACCAAAAGAACAGATGTACGGACTCAACATCACTCCAATCAACTATTCTTTCTCAACCACGTACTAAATTATTAGCTGTGTGATCTTCCGTATGACAGTTAAACTCTCTGTGCCTCAGCTTTCTTGTGTGTAAAAGGTAGGTAATTATAGCACTTACCTCAGAGGGATTTCATGAAGATTAAATAAGATTACAAAAATAACACCTGTTACATACCTCGCATATCTTCAGTGTTTGTTAAGCATGAACTATTTTTCTCTACTCCTATTTACCAGTGGCCCATCTTGGGGTGGTGAGGTTGGCCCCCGGGAGGGGCTCTGTGTTTAGTGCAGAGCTGGCCTTCCTCTGCCCCCGCTCCTTGTGCTCCCTCTCTCTCAGATAAATAATCTTTTTTAAAGTGTTCAGTTTGATCTGTCTTTGGTATCTAACTAGAGAGGAGATCGATACGTGAAAGAATAAGAAACTGTGATAATGGTAAGGAGTGAAATTACATGAAATATTATAAGAAGACGAAATCTGAACTTGTCTTAAAGATAGCAAATATTTAAGATGTCTAGTGGCTCAGTCAGTTAAGCATCCGACTCTCGATTTAGGCACAGGTCATGATCTCAGGATCATGAGATCGAGCCTCTAGACGGGCTCCCCCCGAGGCACTGAGCATGCTTAAGATTCTCTCTCTCTCGGGGCGCCTGGGTGGCTCAGTTGGTTAAGCAACTGCCTTCGGCTCAGGTCATGATCCTGTAGTCCTGGGATCGAGTCCCACATCGGACTCCCTGCTCGGTGGGGAGTCTGCTTCTCCCGCTGATCTCTCTCTCCTTTCATGCTCTCTCTCTCTCTCTCTCTCTCTCTCTCTCAAATAAATAAATAAAATCATTTAAAAAAATTTAAAAAAAAAAAGATTCTCTCTCTCTCTCTCTCTCTATCCTTCTGCCATATCCCCCAACTCGCATGCAAGTGCACGTGTGCTCTCTAGAATAAATAAAAATTTAAAATTAAGAGAAAAACAAATATTTTAAGACACTGAGCAGAACAGTTCAGGGAAAGAGTAAGAATAAGCTTGGGCTGTGTGAGGAAACCAACTAATGGGGGGTGGGGGCCTATAGATAAAGAATTAGATAAAATGAGGTCAAAATATGCAGGGCTTTGAAGCTGTGTCACAGGAATTTGGACTTGATACATGGCATCCTTCTAAGGTGCATGAAATGATAAAATGGACAGAGATTCTGGGGAGGCACATCTGGAAGCAGCCACAGGAGGGGAGGCTGGTAATGAGCACCGACACAAGGGCCTGGCTGGTGTGGTCTATTGGTCAGAACGAACCTCCCTTTCTCTTGTGCCTTCAGTCAGCTCTTACCTGAGCCTCTATGGCCTACATAAACCTTCCCCGTTAAAAGAAATAACCTTTAAGAGTTCGATGTTTTTAGACTGCATATGTAAGTGAGATGATACTGTATTTGTCTTTCTCTGACTTACTTCACTCGGCATAGTACCCTCAAGGTCCATCCACACTGTCTCAAATGGCAGAATTTCCTTCTTTTTTACTGCTGAACACTCTATTGCATATATATAATGATATATATAGCTATAAAACACTTTCTTTATAGAAGCAGAGAGTAGAATGGTAGTTGCCAGGAGTGGAGGGGTGGGGGGTTGGAGGGAATGAAGAACATTGTATCCCAGGATACAAATTTTCAGTTCTAAGGTAAATTCTGAGGATCTAAGGTATAGCAGGGCGACTCTAGTTAACAATACTATATCGTGTTCTTGAAAACTGTTATGTTAAGAGTGTAGAGTTTAAATGTTCTCACCATAACAACAACAAAATGGTAATTATGTGAGGTGGATGTGTGTTAACTAGCTTTATTGTGGTAAATATTTCATAATCTATACATCTATCAAATCCTCACATTGTATACCTTAAACGTACACAGCGTTATATGTCAATTATAGCTCAGTAAAGCTTGGGGGGGATCCCAATAACCTCTCTTCCACCCTGCCCCTCAGGCAAACTGCTACCCTGCTGGTCCCTGAGAACATTCCAGACTCCTCGCTCTTGCTCGTGTGATTCTCACTTCCTCCTCAACCTCATCCTCACTGGCTTTGCTTCCAGATATCCCACAGGCCCCTACTGACCAAAACACTGGTTCCCTTTCCAACCTCCTCAACTCTCTGCAGCTGTGAAGACTACTGACCATTCTTGCTTCCTTTTAGAGCTCTCTCCTCCCTTGGCTTCTCAGTTCTCACAACCTTCTCAGATCATGCTAACCATGGTGGGTCAGTCCCCTTCTCCTCACACCACATTAAGCGTTCATGCTGCTCAGAGCGCCACCTCTCATGCTCTCATGAACACCAACTAACACAAAGCACTCTCCTCTCCTATGAAGTTAGACCAGTGTTCCTCCACCTTGGCTGCTCAGTGGAATCACCTGGGAACTCTGTGGGATTATGGCTGAACGCCTCTCTGTCAGAATCCCCCCCAGGTGGAAGATAAGATAGTGATGTGGAAACTTGGTTGGTCCCCGATAGCTGGTCCCCCTGCCGTCCCAGCCCAAGGCTGCCTGGGCGACCCCACCCCCTCACCCCCACAGTCCCGTTCGGAAAGGGTCTGGTGTGGTGAGCCCCTCTCCTGAGAAACAGGGAGAACACATAAAGGGGCCTGTCCCCTCACCCATCATCAATGAATGTTCATGGAAAACCTGCTTCTGGGTGAAGGGTTTCTCACGTAGCAGAGCAGCTCCCTCCCTGCAATCTAGTGAAAGTTAGCCCTGGACACAGAGTTTGTGAAAAATAAATAAAACTAAAAAAGAAAAAAAAATATTATATTCTCTTCTACCCTCTCACCTTCTTATCCAATTGGTCTGGGGTGGGGACCTCCCACAGCCACACCTAAAAGCTCTGTAATATGCAGTCTGGGATGAGACCCCTGAGTTATAGATGGAGAAGGAAACTGCATCACTCTGTGATACCAAGACAGTATTTTCAATTATTCATTATAACTACAAATTTGTGGCTTTAATAAAAAGCACACATTCTTATTAAAATAAATGTTTAAAAAATGGACCAGGTCTGTATTAGAAGGTAATCACCATCTTCTCGGAAAAGAATAATTCTATAGGTCTCCTCTATGAGCTTAATGCTGCTTAGAAGCATTAAATGACTCTATGACTCTGCAGTACAGAAACAGCATCCCACCTCCCACAAACTCTCCTACCCAACCCAGTCCAATAAAGGGAGAAAACACAGGATCCAGAAACCTAAGGTATGTTTTCTTTAGAATCTCAGACACTGGGGCACCTGGGTGGCTCAGTGGGTTAAGCCTCTGCCTTTGGCTCAGGTCATGGTCTTAGGGTCCTGGGATCGAGCCCCATATTGGGCTCTCTGCTCGGCAGGGAGCCCGCTTCCCTCTCTCTGCCTGCCTCTCTTCCTACTTGTGATCTCTCTCTCTCTCTGTGTCAAATAAATAAATAAAATCTTAATTTAAAAAAAAAAGAATCTCAGACACTTAAAAAAAAAAAAAAACTAATTTGGCATCGAACCTGGAGATATGGCTTCAAATCATGGTCATTCATTTCCCTGGAGCCACTTTGGCCAGATACACACACTACAAACAAACTTACTCTTCAGTTCAGCCAGATCCGCCCTGTGCAGAGATGCGTAGGCGAGGACTGTTTATGCACCAATGTCACTGAGGTGTTGGAGAGAAATTTTCTACCCGTGTCTGATATCTAAAGGCACATCCTCATTCTGCCCAGAAACTTTTAGAAATTCTTTACCTCTTTTTCATAAATGAAGTACAAAGTCAGCAGCAATTCACTTGCAAAGAGTTAGGTAATCAAAATTCAAGCTACTGATATAAGGGATTGGAAAAATAAAATCACTTTGCAGATTTTTTTAAATGGTCAAGCTGATTATATTGTTTACTCTCCATCATTTTATTACAATTTCTTTCCTGATGTGATGTTAAATGTCATCTATTCTAAAATGTACAGAAGTTGTTAGGAAAACTAATGTTCAGCTGGGAAGACTCAAAATAGAATGTTTTCCAAAACTTATTCTCAGTGGGATTCAGCCAAATTTAGCCCTTCATAGGTACTCAGTATTCTCCTAAGAATATCTGAGGGCTTTGAAGTTAACCACCCACCATGTCCAGCATTTATTAAATCCTTTTCTTTTTAAAACATTATATTTCAGGATTAACCTTGGAAAAAACAATCAAACCAGTTTGCAAAAAATGCTATGTGTCTGTAAGCCAAACTCTGAACTACCAATTCTTAATGCACATAGCCTCAAACATAAAAACTTTGGGACAGGTGGCAAGATTAAAGGGAAAATAAAATTTTTAAGAAAAGATGAAAGCAGGGGTGCCTGGGTGGCTCAGTTGGTTAAGCCTCTGCCTTTGGTTCAGGACATGATCCCAGGGTCCTGGGATAGAGCCCCGCATTGGGCTCCCTGCTCAGCGGAGAGCCTGATTCTCCCTCTCATACTCCCCTTGCTTGTGTTCCCTCTCTCATTGTCTCTCTCTGTCAAACAAATAAGTAAAATCTTTAAAAAAGAGAGAGAGACAGAGAGAAAGAGAAGATGAAAGCAATGTGGATACTAGGGTCTGGGGAAAATTTCAATATTAAAAAGACAGGGGGAACATAATGAAAATACAAGTATTCATTGCTAGACACAAAAATAGTACATAGCAACAGGGATGCCCGGGTGGCCCAGCTGGTTAAGTATGTGGCCCTCAGTTTTGGCTCCATTCATGATCTTAGGGTTTTGAGATTGAGCCCCATGTTGAGCTCTAGGCTCAGTGCAGAGTCTGCTTGTCCCTCTCCCTCTGCTCCTCCCCCACCCACACTCTCTCTCACTGTCTCTCTCATAAGTAAAATCTTTTTTAAAAATGTAAAAAAAAATAGTACATAGTGATAAAGCAAAAGGACTTTGAGCAAATATATTGTGTGTGCATCATAAATAGTATCTACTGTCACTGACAGAGGCCCAGCTTCACATAAGCATGGGGCAGCAGGGAGCTGGGGACACTCACCGAGGGAAAATGTCAACAGTGACAGCGTCTCCAAAACAGGCGCTGGTGAAACCATCAGGAGATACCTGAGAAGGCCATGGACTCTCCTTCTGGAGAGATTCTGCTAATTAAGAGAGGCAAGCACTCACCTGGAAATGATTACCTGTCTTCTACTGAGGCACAAATGAACTTGATGAGAAGTCCCAGAGTCTGTCTAGTCCCAGCATGGCTTTCTGGTGTACTGACCACACATGAACTATTCCCAAGCCCGTGAAGAGATCAAAGTCATTAGCAAGAAAGAGCATAAATGGGAGACATTACCTGAAATGGTCTCCCGGTATTTGGTAAATCAGCAGAGGCAATATTTAGGACAGAGCCACAACCACCAAACCGTTCGTTCTGACAGCCATACACAACCAGCGGGATTTATGAAAAAGAATTAAGGTCCTGAAAAGAGTATGCAGCTCAAGTGCATAGAGTGACAAAACCAGGCCACCCTGGACAGACAAGCTCAGGCTACTCTTAAAAACAGTTAAGTTTAGGCTTAATTTTAAAAATCATACAATCCCATTACACAAAAGAAGTTTTAAGGATTTAGAGATTAACATCTCACAATTGCAAATATTGAAGTTGAAAACCAAATACATAGTTGCTGAATGTTCATTGTTTGGTGTTCTCTCTTGTCTTTCCTAATTCACTTTCCTTGAGTCATTAGAGAATTGGAGTCAGAAAGGAAGCAGGAATTTAATCTGGGGATTTTCACCTTTTTAAAAATAGGATTGTCCCCTAACCTTTTGCCAAATAAAATATAACCCATGCCCCAATATAAAACAGACCAAAGTTGAGCCACCCTGTGAGGCAGGATGGGGAGAAAGTTCTAAGTTTACCAGAACCCCCTTCTTCACAAAGTAGAGACTATACATGTAATACTCAAAACCCTCTGTTATTTTTAAAGTGATAAAAATTTTTCACATATACATAGCAAAATAAGTACATAAAAAATGTGCAAGTATGAAATTGAGTTTTTGAACAAGTGAGTAATTTTTTAAAGATCTTAGAGACAAACTTGCTAACACTCGGTGTTTGTGTCACTTACTCTATGAAAGACACAATTCAAAGAGCTGTAACTTTCTTAGGGGCGTCTGGGTGGCTCAGTGGATTAAAGCCTCTGCCTTCTGCTCAGGACATGATCCCAGGGTCCTGGGATCAAGCCCCACATTGGGCTCTCTGCTTGGCAGGGAGCCTGCTTCCTCCTCTCTCTCTGCCTGCCTCTCTGCCTACTTGTCATTTCTGTCTGTCAAATAACTAAAATCTTTAAAAAATAATAATAATAAATTTAAAAAAAAGCTGTAACTTTCTCAATTTCCCATTTATTTACAATTATAATATCATCAGTGACTTGTTTTTTACCTTATGTTTACTTTTGACTTAAAATTTTTCACACAATTTAACAGGTATTCTTGGCAAAAATATATAAACAAAACACATACAAACAAAAACATATAAACAGAGAAAGAAAAATTTTAAATCACTTATTATTCAAAGGTACATATTCTTCAGACATTTTCTCTGCAGTTTTATAATCCACTTTAATTTTGTGACTTATCTTTACATAAGTTTGTTAGCTCTTAGTTTTTCTTCCTCTAGTTTATTTGGTTAATAGTTTTACATCTATTGATAAAAAATGAAGAAATCCTATGATTTAAAAATCCTTCCTAAAAATTTTTGGCCAAGGGGTACAATCTATTTTAACTTGCTTCATAAATCTGTTTTTGCATATGAGAAAAGCAGGTTATGTGTCTGGCCATTTTCAAGGTTACAGGAAGGGCACACGACATTTAACTCACGAAGTCAAAGGATACTCATCAGGCGGAGAGCAGCCGCGCACATAATACAGGGCTCCACGGTGACATACAGCACGGTGTGTTCAAATACTTCAGAAGGACTCTTGCCACTTCGATGACACCAGTCTAGGGCCTGGTCAATGGCCACCATTTCTGCATGTCGGGTAGCCTGGAGAAAGAGAGGCTTATTACATCAACATGTAAGTGTATTGTGCAAACATATGAAAACCAATACCAAAAAAATGGGCCTAATGCTTCTGCCAATGTTTTAATGAATAAACATTTGGGGATGCTCTTAATGCTTGGCAATGTGTCTCCCAGTTCAAGTGCCATAACCTCACCAACAAAAGACATCAAATAGGAGATAGCATGAGAATTATGCTGCATTTTTAGTTAACTACCTGTTAACTAAATGCTCTTTCAATTAAAATGACATAGAGAATATTAGTCTCAGGGAGGAAAAAAGGAATCTAGAGTTTGTGAATATTCGAGGGGAAGCCTGAAGTCTTCACAAGCATGTGGGCCATTCCAGACATTTCCAAGGCCGTCTCTCACTTGACTCTAGGCAAATCTGTAGGTAGTTAGTGGGATATCATCACTTACATTTTCTTTGGGATGAGATTTTTCACTCTGGCAGACTCTAGAGAAAAGCAGATTTGGTATCAGTCTCAGATACCTCCTGAGTGGCACAGATTATAGGAGAAATCACACAGTGTGTGGAAATAACCATAGTTGAGTCTGAATCCTGACTGTGACATCGCTTATTATGTGGCCTTGGGCAGGTTACACAACTTCTCGAAGCCTTGGTTCCCCCGTATGTAAAACAGGATTCACTGGCATCTATACCTCATAAAACACTGAATTACAAGAAGCATATGCTCCTTGCAGTCCACGTGCTCTGCCATGCAAGAATTATTAATGATATTCAGGATAATCACATTTATCAATAAGCTTACGCTAATTGTTAATTATGTACAAGCCATCGTGCTAAATCCTGCATGAGGTTACAAAGTCTGTCCTCAGCAAGTACAGTATCTGGTTGGGGCAAACAGGAAGTGCTCATGAACCTGTGGTGTGGAGTAGGGTGTGAGAGATGCTGGCACAGTGGCACGAGGTGTCACAGAAGCTACAGGCAGGTGGAAGCAAGGCTGGTCCTGAGTTACAATCTCAGAGCTGGAAGGGACTTTAGAGAATAGATTCCCAAAGCTGCCTGCATAGCAGAAGTAACTGAGGAGCTTAAAAAAAAAAGTTTCCCCAATTCAGGGGCTTTTTAACAATCAGCCTCAGAATTACTGAGTCAAATCTGCCCAGAATTCTCAATAAGTAACTATTTATCTGAATCCCTGCAACCAACCTCTCTTTTTTAGAAAATCCAGAGTGATGTAGTGTCCTGGAAACAAGTAAAGAAAGTGTTAGGTTTTTTGTTTGTTTGTTTTTTGTTTTTTTTTTTTAAGATTTTATTTATTTATTTGACAGACAGACAGAGATCACAAGTAGGCAGAGAGGCAGGCAGAGAGAGAGGGGGAAGCAGGCTCCCTGCTGAGCAGAGAGCCAATGCAGGGCTCGATCCCAGGACCCTGAGATCATGACCTGAGCCGAAGGCAGAGGCTTTAACCCACTGAGCCAGGCACCCCTGGGCTTTTTTTTTTTTTTCTTTTTTTTAAGATTTATTTATTTATCAGAGAGAAAGACAGAGAGAGAGAGAGAGGAGGGGGAGGGGCAAATAGAGAGGGAGTGGACTCCATGCTGAGCATGGAGCCCGCCTTGGGGCTCGATCCCCAGGACCCTGAGATCATGACCTGAGCCGAAATCAAGAGTTGGCTGCTTAACCGACTGAGCAACCCTGGCGCCCCTCCACCCCTCCAGAAGCTAATTTAGGACATGTTAAAAACACACAGCGGGAGAGGTGATGGTAGTATCAGAGCCAAAAGCAGGACTCAGGTTTCCTCATTTGGGGTCAAGAGTCTTTGTATAGTATTTTATAGGGCAATCTTCTATCAGGTACAGAAACCAAAATAAATGCAGGTTAATTTCAAGATACAGAAGAAACCCAGGTCACTGGGGGGTTAGATGGACATCGGGGCATTCAAAGTTCTGATATTAAAGATATTATCCCAAACCACAAAATACACAAAACAGGGAGAGAGGGCAATTACTTAAAATACAGAATTCTACTCCCCGACAAGTATCTGTGTATTTACTAATTGCTACATCATGCTTATTACTTACCTCACAAATGTTTTGATATCCAAATAATAATTGCTCTGTGAATCTGGGTTCCTACTTTGCATGTGTTTTCTTTTTGACAGATGTGATGGATAAATATTAAATACCCCATAGCACCAGTACCAGCCCCAGCCTGTTCTCTGGTTCCCAGGACTGAACGATAAGATCAAAGTCTGTGTGAGCAGTGTTATGGTTATAAGCTGTGAGTCCACCTAGTATTTCTGATAATCCTAAAACTGGAATTCATTTATACTTACTGTGACACACTGTTGTGATAGAAGAAGCGTTGCCTTAATTCACGAACTTCTCAACCTAACCACAATAACATAAAGGCACACAAACTATTAATGTGTAATATCAGGATGCCTGGGTTAAGCATCCAACTCTTGTTTTCAGCTCAGGTCATGATCTTGGGGTCATAAGATCGAGCATTGGGTGTGGAGCCTGCTTAAGATTCTCTCTCTCCCTCTCCCCACCACACTCATGCATGTGTGCCCTCTCTCTCTAAAAAAATAAATAAAAATTTTAAAAAATAATAAAGTGTATACCACACGTAGGTATAGAGACAGCAGGTAGTAGAGACTTTATTCCATTGAATTATCTAGTAAACGAACAGTTTCCTCTACACAATCCTTTAATACCTCTAAAGGTATAAACTGAAGGTGATTTTTTAATTTACTGGAAGGAAAACATTATTTAAAGGTACTACATAATGTGATATGAGTTAAATTGATGAGTTTTGTAAAGTGGAATTTTTCTGTATTAGATTTGCTTAAGATGGAGATTAGATAGATTCATTTCTTCAGTACTGACACTCCAAAGTAATAAAATTCTTTCTTGAGTTTCACTCAATGCTAAAGTAAAACTCCATGAAATAGAAAATTAGCCCCAAAGATTGTATTGTTTCATTAAACGTTTTGTATTTTCCAAATTTTAAAAAACCAACATGGATCACTTTTATAATCAGAGAGGAAGGCATTCAAAAAAAGAAAAGTTAAGGGAAACTACTCTTCCATTCATACCTACAGGTCTTGACACAGACCCACCTTCTTGCCAACTGTGATGAAGTGCAGTGCACTCCTACCCTTACTGTTGTATGTCTGCAATTAAACTATTCAACCGACATACATTTTTGGTTTGATTAACTTCGTTTCGTCCCTTCCCCACAACTTCATTGTTGTAGACCATAAGGCAGCCAACAGGAACTTCAATATTTTCTAGGGCTTCCTTGGCCTAAAAGACAAAGTAGAAAATTTAAGAAGTAATGTTCAATACTTGAAAAGACTACACATATCCTAAGCACACATGTATAAACACCAGAACAAAGAAATACAGCTGAGCTTTCCCTTCCCTCACATACAGTTCAGTATTTAGTGCCTCTGTTCTGTTCTATCTGTATTAAGGGAGACTCGGGAACAAACCCCCCTCACTGGTTCCAAGCCCCTGGTTCTTTTTCTTCTCACTGGAAGCAGAAGTGAGCAAAAGGCTGCTGCTATTGCCTCTTCCTACAGTGGCAGGGCCTGTGCAGCTTTTCGGAGATCACATACATATTTGCAAAGGAAAAGAATATATAAATACTTTTATATATAAATATAAAAGAATGTATAAGAGAAATGTATAAAACTCTTATATATATATAAAAGAATGTATAAATATTTTACTGAAGTCCTCTCCTTGTTGAAATTCTACTTGCTTCATTTTTTTGTTTCACTAAATATTATAGAAGATACCCTCTCGAGTTCCAACAGCATGAAGGTAACCAGCCTGGACGTCTCTCTGTGCTATTTCTGCTTTGACACAAGAAAAGCTTTGGAGCGCTCTATGCTAAAATGGCACAACCACTTTGGAGAACACTTGGGAAATTTTTCTAAAAAGTAAATATACATGTAGCCTATGAACAAATTCTAATCCTAAGTATTTATTAAGAGAAGGGAATACATGGCCACAAAAAAAAAAAAAAATCTTGTAAAAGAATGTTCATAATAGCTTGATTCATAATAGCCCAAATCTATGAATGGCACAGGTGTGTGCCAACAAGAGAACGGGGAAACAAACTGCGGCACAGTGGCACGATGGACTGCTAGTGAGCGATGGAAAGCAACAAGCTCGAGATACGCACAACAACACGGGTGAGTGTCAGACACGCTGAGTGCAAGAAGTCAAACACAAAAGCATACAAACTGTATGGCTCCCTTCAGGTTTAGTACTAGAACAGACAAAACTAAACACAATGATAGCAATTTCTTCCTGGAAAGGCATCTATAGACTGATTGGAAAGGGACACAAGGAACTTTTCCAGGGTGGTCAAAACTCTATCTTGTAAAGGGGGTGGGTTACACAGATGTTTGCATCAGTCTAAACTGAATGGACAACAAATCTAAGACCCGTGTATTTCATTGGCTGTAAAGAACATCTCGACTGAAAAATATCCATTAGAAAAGTAAGCTTAAGGATATGTCCACCACCCGCATCCTGGAAAGGGCAAACCACTGGTTATATTTGCAAAGTCTCCTCCATCAGAGGCTGTCCATTTTTCTCCTGACTTTGTTGCTGACTGAACCACAGCAGTTGAGGCCCAAGATAGTTAAAGAGTACTTCTTTGGGCAGAGGGCAAAAGCAAGCAGGTTATATCTGCATACTCCTTGATCCTGTTGCTGAGAGCGAACAAAGGAAGAACACAACCCTGGAACTAGTGTGTAATCATTTCCAACTCACTGTAGTCAAGAAACTCCAAGTATAGCTGTTTTTAGAAAGGCACAGCATTTCTTATTTTGACAGACCTGAAGACACTTTGGAAAACCAGATTACCAATTAAGTGTTGGTATTCACATACAGCCTAAGGCATATACAGTATAAGGTTGAAGATATTGCTTAAGACTGCATATTGTACCTCTTGCACTAGCCCCAATTCCCAGCTATGTTTTATTTAGAGTAGCAATAATTTTCTATCACCATGCTAACATGGGTTACTTAGCCACTTTAACCAGGCTCTTAACTGACACTTAACTTGTCCTAGGGCCAATAAAGGTGAAAGGAGAGGCACACAGCACAGAGATAGCAAACTGTATCTCTCCTTCCTCCTCCAGAGTGGTAGGACAGAGCTAGGGCCTACAGAGATGTAGGGAGAGAGTAGCTGAAGCAGTAAGACTGCATTCTTCTGAACTGGGTCATGAACCACCCACAGGCTAGCTCTGTTCAGTTCTGTAACAATGGCTAAAGCATGCCAGGTTATGCAAAACTCGAAAGTCTGAAGAGTTCCAAGGTTTGGTGAATATATACAAATAATAAATAAATACACAAATAAATAAATACACAAATGCACCATTGGCTACTAGAGAAAGGAAAGCCAGGAGGACGACTGACAGCTAGCGAGGATGGTGATGCTGAGTACCCACATAGTTAAGGCAATCAGCACACGAAAAATGTTATTTAAAATTAGATTGGGAGTACACAGAACCCTACGCACACACAAAAGAGAAATCATTTACTAGTCCAACAAATATTTATTGAATATCTTGAGACAGGAAAATTATCCTGGGTTATTCGGGTGGCCCTAAATGCAATCACAAGTCTCCTAATAAGAGAGGCAGAGAAAGAGATTTGAAGACGTTATACCGTTGGCTTTGAAGATAGAGGAAGGAGCCATGAGTCAAGCAAAAAAGCCATGAGTCAAGTAAAGAATGTTGCTCCAGAAGCTGGAAAAGTTGAGGAAACATATTCACCTCTAGAACCTTCAGAGGGCATAGCTTTGCTGGCACACTGGGTTTGGCTCAATGAAATGAATTTCAAAAACTTGGCAGCTAGAGCTGTAAGAGAATAAACTTGTGTCGTTTTAAGCCCCCTAGTTTGTAGTGATTTGTTACAGAAGCCACAGGAAACTAATACACTGTTACGAAAAAGAAAGCACAAGCTAAAACTGAAAGAAAGTATTTGCAAACTGCATATCCCACGAAGGTCTACTATCAAGACTATACAAAGAACTCTAAATTCAACAACAAAAAAATCCAAAAACAATCCGACTAGAAAATGGGCAAAGGACATTAAAAGGCACTTCACCAAAGAGGGCATAGAGATGGCAAATAAGCATATGTAAGGATACTCATAGCATTAGCTATTAGGGAAATGCAAATTATAACCACAATGAGTTACCACTACACACCATCAGTGGCTAAAATAAAAAGTAAAAACACCAAACGCTGGTGAGGCTGAAGAAAAATGGGGTCACTTACTTATACACTGCTGGTAGGACTACAAAATGGTACAGTCATTCTGGAAACCAGTTTGGTAGCTTCTTAAAAAGCAACACATGCAGTTAACATATGACCCAGCAATTGCACTCTCAGGCATTATCCCAAGGAACCGAAAGCTTATGCTCATACAGTACATAAATTGATATAGAGACACAAATGTTTGTAGGTATTTTATTCATAATAGGCAAAAACTGGAAATGATCCAAATGTCCTTCAGAGGATGAATAGTTGAACTATGGTACGTCCATCCCATAGAATACTACACAGCAACAAAAGGAACAGACTACTGATTCACTCAACATTTGGATGGGCCTCAAGGAAATCATGCTGAATGAAAAGAACCAACCCCTCCCAGAAGATTCTATATTCACATATATAACATTCCTGAATGCAAAATTACAGCTACGAAGAATGGATTAGTGCCTGCCAGGGCTTAAAGGCTTGAGAGAGAATAGTAGCTATGAAGGGTAGCACGAAGAAGCCTTGTGGTAACTGAGCAGTTCCGGTGGTGGGTCAACAAAACCAACCATGACAAAATTGCACAGAACTCCACACACGTGTGCATACAAAGCCAGTTCAATCTGAATAAGCTCTACGGATTGCAGCAATGTGCTTCTCCTGGTTGATCATTGCACGGCAGGTACCTAAGATGTTAACACAGAGGAAAGCTGGGTGAAGGGTACATGAGCTTTCCCTATATACTTTTTTTTTTTTTTGCAACTTCTGTGAATCTATAATTATTTCAAAAGGAAAAGTTTAAAAAATAATAGTAAAAGTAGAGTAAACGAGAAATATCTTGCAATGGAGGTTAAGAAGAAATGCCTAGGAAGGTAGGAGGAAAATCAAGAGTGTCAGAGCAACTGGGTGGCTCTGCTCAGGAGGGAGTCTGCTTCTCCCTCTCCCACTGCCGCTCCCCCTGCTTGTGCAATCTCTCTAAAATAAATAAATAAAATATTTAAAGAGAGAGAGAGAAAGAAAGGAAGAGAAAGAAAGAAAGAAAGAAAGAAAGGAAGAGAAAGAAAAAGAAAGAAAGAAAGAAAGAAAGAAAGAAAGAAAGAAAGAAAGAAAGAAAGAAAGAAAGAAAGAAAAGAAAGAAAAGGTGTCTGCTGTTAGGGAAGATGGGGGGGGGAGCCGCGGGGACGGGGGAGGGACACAGACCAAGAAAAAAGGGTCGGTGACACAGATGCAATTTTAGTGGAAGGTGAAAATGAAAACCAGTGGCTTGAAGAGTGACCTATCTACAGGTTAAAATTTCTAGCTTCTACCTATTACCATAGACTATTATGTCTACATAACAATTGTTCTAATTCTGAGCTTGCAAATTATAAGAGCTTACAACTATAGAAAAATTTACTTTGATGGGGCGCCTGGGTGGCTCAGTGGGTTAAAGCCTCTGCCTGCCTTCAGCTCAGGTCATGATCCCAGGGTCCTGGGATGGAGACCCACATAGTGCTCTCTGCTCAGCAGGAAGCCTGTTTCCTCCTCTCTCTCTCTGCCTGCCTTTCTGCCTACTTGTGATCTCTGTCTGTCAAATAAATAAATAAATAAAATCTTTAAAAAAAAAAAAAGAAAAGAAAAGAAAAATTTACTTTGACCCAGGACTATTTTAAGCATTTTATCATTATTATTGCATTTCACTTACAACCCTATGAGATCGATTCAGTGAGCTTCCCCAGCTTACAGATGAGTAAATGGAGACATGGGGGTGTTAGGGGATTTGCTCCTGTTCAGAGGACAAGGCCAAAATCCAGGCAATCTGTTTCAGGCATTCATTTCTTCAACAAATATTTATGGAACACCTACAAGGTGCAGGTTCCTGGCCACCCGGCCTCAAATTTCTACTCTAGTCACCGCTGACCAGCTACTTTGTCACTTTTGGGATTCAAAAGAGGCCTAGTTCAAGGAACAAAAGGAGAGTGAGACCTAGAAAGTTGAAGGCTAAAAAACTGCAAGAAACAAATGAGGGGGCCACGTGACACAGATTTTCTATAAAACTATCTCCTGAAGAGGTAATTCTATGTGTGGCTGTGTAGCTATCTCAAGCATGTAGAAGGGAATTCAAGGCCCAATGGGGAAGGAGTGGCAGAGGACAGGGAGAACCTGTGGAGCCCACTGTCTTTCAAGCCCTGACTTAGGTCACCTGGAAAAAAGCCCAGCAGCCTCCTGCTCCACCCAGGCCCCCAGGTGACTGGACGTGTGCCTTTCATACTTTCTTTCTGATTCTCTCTTTTTCCTTCCAGCAAATGTAGCTCCTTTATTCCACGTCCCTTCTTCTCTTCCACTGTCCTCCTATTTGCTTAGAGTAACTAGTTTTTTGTGAAAAGCCTTCAACTGGTGTCCAAATGAGAGAGAAAACATGAGCGGTGGGGCAAATCAGGTTATTAATGAGGAACTAACCCAGCCCACCATGCTGAGGGTGAGTGGTTGAGCAGCTGGGAATGGTGGGTTAGAGAGAAGGTGGTGAGAACAACCCTAAAACCCCACGAAAATGGGTTTAGGTGAAATGCTGTTCAATAAAATACATATTTGTTTTGCTGTCAAGTTCAAAATAGAATTAAACTAATTAAATAATTTACATAGTTTTCAATCCATCTCCTCTCATACTTTCCAACTCTCCCACCAACTTTCAGTCAAGTCTGATCATTTCTTTGTGAATTTGCGTTGTTACTTTGTACCTTGTCCTTTTAACATGCAGAAGTTTTTAATATTTATGTAATTAAAACCCATCTATCTTTCTCTTCTGTTTTCTGCCTTTGATGGTATAAAGAACCCATCTCTATTCCACTAACATCTACTTACCACGGGCTCCTTTCTGGTTTTCTTCTTATGCTATCTTCTTTATTAGATTTTTACTAAAAAAGCATAGTGAAAAATTTCTTTAAAATTACCCATATCTTAAAAAAAAAAAGACCCATATCTTTACCATGTTAACTAATTATTTGTGTGTGTGTTCTCCTCTAGTCTTTGTTTATTTGATAAAGAAAAAAAAAACAGCTTTTATTTATTGAGCATAATGTGTCAGGGACTTTACAAACATTATCTCTTTTAATCTAGACAACCCTGTGACATAGATATTATATACCCATTTTACAGAAGGGGCCTCTGTGGCTGAAAGGTTAAGAACCTGTCAAGGTTAGCTGGCTGTCAGTAGCCATTCTAGGGTTTGAACATAGGCCTAACCTCTAAATGTATATGTATAGTATAAAATAATTTGTATTCTGCTTGCTTAATGTTGAAAATCATATGTAGCTGTGATAGTTAATGTCATGTTTGTACCTAATAGCCATAACCGTTTTGATAAAAGCACATTATTCAACACAGTAATATACCATAATTTAACCATTTGCCTTCATCGGAAGTTTGAAATGCTTCCTAGTTTTCCCTGTTACATGAAACACTGAAATGACAATGATTACTTTTATCTTTCTAAACTATTTCCTTAAGCTAAATGCCACATATTTATCTTACTAAGTCAAATGATATGAACATTTTTTTTTTGAGGCTGTTAATCATATTATGCCAGGTTGCCTTCCAAAAATGTTATATCTGTTGAACTATTAGGGTTGTATGGCTTTTTGCTCAGACTCACTTACTTTAGACAACATTTTAAAAAAATAGATTTTAAGCTTTCTCAAAAACTGTTTTCCTTTCTTTTATAATTCAGGCTTATGTCTGTAGATTAAAATCATAGACTAGGATAGAAGTTTTCTAGCACAACCCCTTTATTTTAAACAGTAAGACCCAGAAATTATATGACTTGGCTGGTCCAATCAGAGCCAGACATTCTACTTATCCGTATCGGCCATTTACATATGTCTACTCTGCACAAATGCTATGAAGATGCTAGTATCCTCCCTACTACATGTACCCTGCATATTTCCCTGTCAAATTCCTCAGATGTGAGCACATTTGGCTCTGTCTATGCTTCTTGTCGAATCTTAAACTCTTCTCAGAAGTACATAGTAAACCTTGAATTACTTCAACAATCTTTGAAGTAGTTCAAGCTTTGAAGTTTCTGTAGTGGGGAGGGAGAGACTAAACAAAGCACAAGATTTATGACAACCACTTTTCCCCTTCTTTAAGACCTAGAAGAACATGTATAGGCCAAAACCAAAATACAAGAGCTAAGTTAAGGTCCTTCTTGACCTTATGTAGGTATAGGAAAACTAGGTAATCACATCCCCTAGGTTTTTATAATCCAATTAAGAGGGGCTCCTGGGCGACTCAGTTGGTTAAGCATCTGCCTTCCACTCAGGTCCAGATCCTGGGAGTCCTGGGATCGAGCCCCACATAGGGCTCTCTGCTCAGCGGTTAGCCTGCTTCTCCCTCTCCTCCTCACCCTGCCTTTGCTCTCTCTCTGTCAAATAAATAAATAAAATCCTAAAAAATATATAATCCAATTAAGAGACAAAAATGTCAAAGCCAGAGAGATCTGAGAAACTATGTGGAGTACAACCATCTCATATTACAGGGTAGGAAGGGAAGGGGGTAGGAGATGACTTGTGCAAGGTCACAGCAAAAAGTAGTAAAAGTACTTAAGTATTAAGTCCAGAAGTCTAGAGAAGAGTGCAGAGATAGATAGAGGAAATATTCCAATATATTATGACCAAAAGACACTTCAAGGAAAATAAAGACCCAAAATGTGAAAGGATAGAAAAAAAAAAAATCCCAGCTCTGCTACATGAGCAGGAAAACCCAATGACTGATACAGTTATCTGTTTTCAAAAACACTATTAAGTTCTCCATGGTAGCATCTCTGAAAATTTCACCTAAGCAGCCTCCGCAAATAAATACTCTGAGGAGAGAGCTCCTGAAGCAAATGAAAATAAACAGAAGGGCTCATAAATTCTGACTTCTCAGCATTCAGGCATCATCTGCCCTCTGGAACTCTCGTCCATGGAAGGACACGAATGCAGCTTACTCTAGGGAATTTTAGCCTTTTTGTGTATAATTTATCATCTTCACTATTTAGGAAGAAGCTGCCCGGCATACGCATTATTGAAATGATTTGGAGAAGGGAGAGTGAGATGTTGATATCACGTGCAAACTCCTTGTCTCCAATGTAGAGGATTTAATAACATAAAAGAGGTTCAGGACAAACAAATCCATATGACAAGTTACAAATTAATTTTTAAATGTATATGTGAACAGTAAAGTTTTGGAACGCTACATATCTTGTAAGTTTATTGGAGGAAATAAATTATGAAGTGAGCTCAAAGAATGGGTCATAAAATCAAGTTAGTGGGTCAGGACCAGCATTTTTTTTTTTTTCAAAAATGGACGAAAGAGCGTTCTGCGCTGGGGCGGTGGCGGGGGCGGGGGCGGCAGGCGCGCTCTGGACCTGCAGGGCGATGCTGGCCAATTCGTGGACCTGGCTGGACCTGCCGCGGAATCGCTCTGCCAGCAACCGCACCATCCGCACCACGGCTCACGGTCCACTCAGACGAACGTGGTTGAGTGACCAGACAACAGGCAGATTCAACTACCAGTTTACACTACGCTATCTGAGGGGCCACTACCAGGATGGGTGAGTCAGACGACTCCATTCTCCGACTGGCCAAGGCCAACAGCATCGTTCTAAAAAACTTCTGACTGAAGAGGATCACGGATGTGGAATATTTGTCAGAAATACAAGCACACCCCTCCCCCACTCAAAAAGTACCAGGAAACCTGTACAAAGGAAGGTTAAGTACTGTTCTGTGAAACTTTTGTTTCGGTGATAGCTACGTGTGTTATTCACTGGGTTGTAATATAAAATGGTCTTTTTTTACTCTGGATCGTTTTCAAAAAAGTATGAGAAACACGTTTAAAGGGACATTCTGTAAGTAGCAGAAACAAATGGATAGACGCTGTCATGCATCCGGGCTTAGAGAAAAACCTTTGGCTGTAATAGCGAATGAATGCCGGGGAAACAGTATGAACGCAGAACAGAGAGGAATATACCAAAATCAGTCTCAGGGCTGAATTCCCAATGCCAAGCATGGTGAACTCCATAAACATCTGCAGAGTGAATGAATACATAATTATGCAATCAATTAACTACTGGAGACCAGAGGCCACTAGGAAAATACAATCAGAACCATGTATGAAAAAAGATTTCCTTTACAGCAGCTTTAGAAAAATGTGAAACGGAAGGACATTTTACATACGTATGCCAAACACACTCTTCTCCCCCATGAAAGGGCTCACTGGCACACAGAAGTATGGGGAAGGCTTGGATTGTACACAAATCAGATCAGAGCCCTAATTAACCAGCCGTCCTGGAGGGAACGAAGGAAGGAAGTGAAAAGGCCAGAGGGCAGGAGGACAGATGAATGACTGGTAGGATCTGGCTGTGCAGGGATTTGTTTTTATCCTCATCTATCAGCGTCCTTTCTCCTACTGGAGAGGTTCAAGAGGTCATAAATACGGGAGAATGTGACTTTCCGGATTTGCGAGGGTGTCTGGGGGAAAGAAGGGGACTCAGCACGTTCCGTGCCAGCAGCAGCTGAATGAGGATGTTTGGCTCAGACATGCCAGTGAAAAAAAAGAAATGATTTCTCTATTTCCTCTCTGTGAGACTAAAGCACTGTGAGACTAAAGACAATTTCAGGGCAGCAAAGCCAGCTGTCCACCCAGAAAACGTGACCGCCATCCAGATTCCGGTGGCGAGAAAGCACACCCCGGGCGTCTGCTCAAATGCTCGGGTCACGAAGGGGGCTAATGAAACTTCCCACCCACGGCGTCCACCTCCTGCACCCCTCACCATCTGCATCGCATCCTCCATCCACTTTTCGGTCTCCTCCGCGGTCACAGAGCACACGCCGCCGCCAGGAGCCGGCGTGGCTGCCGCTTTCGCCTCCATGCTGCACCGGGGCCGCGGTGCTCGGCGCCAGAGGCTGGGGCCGCGGAGGAGCGCGGGTAACGGAACGCGGCGACCGCGGGCCACGGTTTCCAGGGAAGTCGAACGGCGACGCACTGGGGAGCGAATTCTGGACGGACCTGGGTGCCCGGGACCAGTGAGCTGGGACCGCGGCGCGGCGGCAGCAGCAGAAAGCGCAGCTGCTCAGCTGTATCCCACGCCCCCTTCCCGCCCCGGTGACAGTCTCTGCGGAAAGTCGCGTTTGTGATTTCTGGAGAGCACCCAGCGGGACGACGGCGGTCTTGCCTGGTCGTTCGGGCCAAGCGACGAGGAAACGGTTTCCCGGCGAACTGCCCACCCCACCCCGCGCCCCTAGGCAGCCCGTACCTGTAGGGCCTGAAGATGCTGAGATCTATGTGGAATTTTCTAAAACGTCATAAAAAGAAATGCATCTTCCTGGGCACAGTGCTCGGAGGTGGGTGACAGCGTTCTCGGAAGGGACTTTGGGAGCCAGGGGCGGAAGAGAGGTGACTGTCCTCTAAAACAGGCCGGGCGACCATAGTCCCGGATATGCAGAGCAGAGTCGCTCACCCGTCGGACGCGGCGCGGGGTGACCAGCCTCTGAGGTTCTTCCCACCTCTGCAGTCGTGGAATTTGTGTCTTTGGTCCTGACACTGCCGCTTACTCTGCTTCTCTCCTATCCTTTTCTCTCACGGACCTTGGGGGAAGCCGCCACACTTAAGTGTTTCAAGATACCATTCTCTTACAGACACGTATTTTTAAGTTGTGGTTTTTCCTGTGAGATTCTTCATGGGTATTGCGTTCTCGGTAGTTTGGCTTTTCACCCTTCTCAGAGGTTTCGTCATAGTCTAGGAGAACCTAAAGCCTGCACTCTCCAGTGTTGTTTTAAGTTCATTTTTTTTTTTTAAACCGCACACAGGTAAAGGACTGGAAGATGTGTACTAGACAGAGAAACGCAAATCGGTATTTTAGTTCTGTGTCTGCTTCTTGAGAATACAAGTTATGCAGTGAGAAGGTGTTTGGAAGATGTTGTGCAATCTTCCTCTGGATCTTCAAGGTTAGGATCAATGCCCGTCTGTCTGGCTGACATAACTGAGTCAGCTTAGGCTGAGAAGACATTAAGATACAGGTGGGATAATGGTGAGAGCCTTTTCCTTATATAGTGGTCATGTCATAACACGCAGGGATTTGAAGGAGAGAATAAAAAGCTTTGTGAGATAGAAGGAAATGTAGGAACGTTAAGAAGAATCTTTAGCGTTTGATTTTTTTGAGAAATATCACTAACTACATGCTTTGGTTACAGAAGTACTTAAAAAACAAGAACAAGTTTTCTAAGGAATTTGGTTGCTTTTATCTGACTATTAGGTAATATTCTATTGCCTCCAAACAGTTTGAGATTAACAATATTTTTGGCATCAGTAACTCAGATCTGTTGATTCTGGAAAGTTTGAAATCAGCTTATTGATGAGGTAAGGAGAGTCTTCCTCATCTCTGAGGTCTTTCACAAATCAGTACATTTTTATGTGAATTTTTACAGCCTTCTCTGAGAAATCCTTTACAAATAAACTCTCCAGTATCTTCAGCCACTGACATCTAATGTACAGATCTCCCTCAACTTGCAATGGGGTTATGACCCATTAAACATATAGGAAGTTGAAAATATCATAAGTCAAAAGTACATTTAATATTAGCTCACCTACCAAACATCATAGCTTAGCCCAGCCTACATAAAATGTGCTAGGAACACTTAGTTTAGCCTATAGTTGGACAAAATCATCCAACACAAAGCCCGTCTTGTAATAGTGTTAATATCTCCTGTAATTTATTGAATACTGTACTGAAAGTGAAAAATAGACTGGTTGAATGATTACAGAATGATTGTAAGAGTTGTTTACTCTCAAAGATTGCATGGCTAACTGGGAGCTGGGGCTCACTGCCACTGCCCAGCATCACAAAAGTATGTTACCTCATATTTGCCAGCTCAGCAAAAGATCAAAATTTAAAGTATGGATTCTACTGAATGTGTAGTACTTCTGCATCATCATAAAGTCAAAAATTTGTATAATTCAGGGACTATCTATATAATTCAGTTATGCTAAAACCACTAAGTCCATTTTATTTGCAAAGTTAAAGATATACATATGATGGAAGAAGTACAAATAAAATATTTTTTGCCTCTACTGAAGTAAGGAAAATAATCTCTCTAGCAATCTCAAAATAGCATACCCCTTCCGATTTATGGAACAACTTAATGGTAGATGAGAGATAATCATAGGGGAAGCTAAAGAGTATACTTAAGACATAGTTACAGATTTTTTTCAAAAAAATTTTTTGAGAGCTTATAATTACAGATTAAGGAAAATGAGAGAGGAAAAAAAGAAGTTCAGAGGGACAGAAAGAGAAAATAATCCAAGTGTTTTATATCTTCCTATAACATTTGAAATGTTACATTTCAGTTAATCTAAGACATATTTATCCAGTGCCTGTAGTCTTTACGGTAGTATGATTGGAAATGCAAGAGTTACAGATTTTTCAGTAATAGCTACCATTTACTGGGTGTCCAGTGGGCACTGTGCTAAGCTCTTGTGTTCAGTGGGCAGGACAACAAGAGTAGTTATTGTCATTTCCATTCAAAAATGTGGAAATTAGAGTCCTAAGAATTGAAGAAACTTGCCCAGGATCTCAGAGTTAATAATAAGGAAACTAGAATTCAAACCAGGTGTGTTAGATTCTGAAGCACTTTCTCTTTGCATACTTTACCATTCTGCCTTCATGGACTTCATGGTCTGACGGGAATGGAAAACAAGTGTCTTAGTCTGCTAGGGCTACTATAACAAAATACAATGGACTGTGTGACTGTAGACCACAGAAATTTATTTCCCCCAATTCTAGAGGCTGGATCAGGCTGCCAGCAAAGTTAGGTGAGGGCCTGCTTCCGGGTTGCAGACTTTTTGTGTCATCACATGGCCACAAGGGTAGAGGTCTCTGTGAAGTCCCTTTTATAAGAACACTAATCCCATTCATGAAGGCTCCACCCTCATGACCAAGCACCTCCCAAAGACCTCACCTCCTAATATCATCACATCAGGCATTAGGATTTCAACATGTGAATTCTGGGGGGACACAAACATTCTGAATATAACAAGTATATAAATAATTAAAATACAAAACAATAAGAGAGCTGGGGGAAAATATGGCATACAGATCAAACCAGCAGATAGCGTGTGCAATTGGAAAAAAGTAGAAAAGGTCTTCATGGAAGAAGTGGCATATTTTGTCAGGCTTGAAAACCAGGTACAATATCAACATAGATGCTCAAAGAAGTTTGGCTATCAGTGGTGGGAAAAAAAACTAAAACTTTGAGGTACAGGCCTTTCATAGGAATTTCCTACATTTTGGATGAGTAACTGCTTTAGACCAATTTGTACAATTTGACCAGTTTATGAAATGTAAACTTTTTGGTCTGAGGTCTCCTTTATACTTGTAAAAATTAAAGACTCTAAACAGCCTTTAAAAATTATATCTATTAATGGTTGCCATATTAGAAATTAAAACAAAGAATTATTTAAATATTAAATAACAATAGTAAACCATTACATAGTAACACAAATATTATTTTTTAGTAATTTTTTTTTGAAAAGAGAGGCATCATTTTACATTTTTGCTAATCTCTTCACCGTCTGGCTTAATTAAAGAAAGCTGGATTCCCATCTTTCTTTCTGCATCTAGTCAGTTTTGTTACCACGTCATGTAGCCTCTGGAATACTCTGCTGTGTGAGAGAATGAGAATGAAAAAGACAAAAACTACAAAAATGGTTTTGACTCGCAGATTCCATGAAAAGGTATTGAACACCCCCAAGCATACCCAAGCCACATTTCGAGAACCAATACTCAAGAGAAAATGTTGCAGAACAGAGAATAACCAGATTATATTTATTAGCTTGCTGATTTCTAAAAATCTCAGAGCGTTGACTTATAATTTATATCTTAATCCCTGTAATTTTTGGTCTCTTTAGTTTTCCATTTTTTTCATTCAACAAATACCTGAGTAAGAGTGAGTGCCTCTTCCCACTTTATCAGGCTCTGGGAATACAAAGGAATAAGATAGTTCTTGACTCTGAGGAACTCTTGGTGCTGACTGGAAAGCAGTACAGTGATGATACCATAATAGAGTACCATAGTAGAGCTGGTGCTGTGAGGACTTAGAGGAGAGAGAAATAAATGTGAAGGTGTCTGGCAGGCTTCACTCAGGAATTCACTTAAGTCAAGTTGTACAGCTAGCAAAAGAATGGGACACAGCTGGAAAAAGGGATATTCAACAGATTCAAATATATTGCTTGTGATGAATCAGTGTATTTCACTATGGCTAAGAACAGGGAATAAATAGGGAGCAGCAAAAGATGCATTTGGGAAACTAGCCTGAGTGCAGTTTGTGAAGGGCCTTCTATATTGTGCCATTCTACAGAATCTGGACATTATCTTGGGCACCAGTGCTTCTCAATTTTCTATGATAAAAATCACTTAAGGGGCTTAATAAAAACATAGAATTTTCTCTTTTTTTTAAGATTTTATTTATTTGTCAGACAGTGCACGCAAGCTGGGTAAGTCTCAGGCAGAAGGAGAGGCAGGCTCCCCGCTGAGCAGGGTCCTGGGATCATGACCTGAGCCAAAGGCAGCCACTTAACCAACAGAGCCACCCAGGCATCCAAAAACATAGTTTTCTTTCTCAGATTCTGATTCTTCTGGTCCAGACCAGTTCATTTATTCATCAGTTATCCAGCAAATATTTATTGAGCTTCCTCTGTGTAACAATATATGTATTGGGAATGCAGTATTGTATAAGACAAAATATTTGGGGATGATTTCAGGGAACTCCCTTAAAAGCTATGTTTTTAACGGGTGCTTCAAGTAATTCTGATGTTAAGTGAAACAGGGAATCCATCTTAAGAAAAGGTGGCAGGGTGTTGAAAAATTCTAATCACAGGAATATGTAGTCAGATTTAAATTTTAGAAAATTATTTGGCATATGAAAGGTGGATTGGAAAGGTGTGAGACCAGAAGAAGAGAGAAGAGGAAGCTGGAAACCAGTTCTTAAGAGCATTATTCAGAATCTGAATGAAGACAATGGTAAAGAAGTTGGAGTAAAGTGGCAAAATTTAGAGAATATTTCTGAAATAGAATCAGACTAGCAGGATTTGATATTTTGTTAGATTTTGAGCAGTGATAATAGATTATATTCAAACTCTTACTGAAATTATTAACCTAGTAATAATCTGGTAAAATAGTTGTATTCCAGGGATTTTTGTCCAGAAAAAGAAAACAACTAAAAGACAGTTTGGAAAAAAAAAAAAAAAAACTGAATTTATAATGTAGAAAGACTAGAAGATGTTTTGCTTTACCAGCGATGTTCTGAAAGGAAATCTCAAAACATTTTACATTGATTTGGAGGGTGGAGGGAGGATTATTTTTGTTTTTGTTTTTAGATAACTCAGGGGTGAGGGCAGAGACCTGGGAGGGAGAAGGAGAGAAAATCTCAAGCAGAGTCCAAACTGAGTGCAGAGACCAACACAGGGCTTGATCTTACAACCCTGAGGTCATGACCTGGGCTGAAACCAAGAGTTGGACACTTAACAGACTAAGCTACCTTGCGCCCCCATTTTCTGAAGTATTTAGTGATTGTTTCCATTATTCATAAATAAAACCTTAGCTACAGAAGAAACTTTTAAAGCACCTTACAATCCCAGCCTGTCATTTTATGGATGAAAAAAATTAGATACAGATAAAGGAAGAGACTTGCTTCAAGTTACCTACCTAAATGGTGCCATAACCATCAATATCTATTGTCTTCAGTCAGATGCAGGTAGCCACTCGAGTATAAAGATGATCCTGAATCCCATATTTTAGCTAATAAATTCTGTGCCCTCATACTTATTTTCCTAGGTAATAAAAAAAATCAGAATTAATTAATTTTAGGAATGAGAGCTTGGCTAAATTTGCCTTTGTATAGTAACTTACTCCAGTGCTAACTCAAAAAAAATAATAATAATGCGTTGTGGGATTTTAGCCTAATTTCATGTATTTGTTTGCTATTGTTTCCATAACGAAGTACCACAGACTGAGTGCTGAAGCAACAGAAATGTATTGTCTCATTGTTCTGGAGTCCAGAAATCTAAGATCAATGTGTTTCAGGATTTGTTTCTTCTCAGGGCTATAAGAGAAGGATCTTCTACAGGCCCCTCTCCTCAGTTTTTAGATGGTTATCGCCTCTGTGTCTTTATATCATCTTCCTTCTACACACGTCTGTGTCCAAATTTTCTCATACCAGAATACCTTCATGTTGGATTAGAGCCCACCCTAATGACCTCCTTTCAACTTGATTACCTCTGTAAAGACCCTGTCTCCAAATAAGGTAACATTCTGAAGTAGGGAGACTTCAACTTATGAATAGGGAATGGGTGTGTGTGACATAGTTCAACCCATAATAATTCATTTTCTTTTAGCTTTAGTTAGAATATACAACACTTATAAAATACAGTAGCTCCTGAAAATTTTTTATCAGACACTGTTGAGAATCTAATGAAAGCAGTATACCTTTTCTCCCAGAAAACACATATATCAGTCATTTATTATTATTCCAGAAAATTCTTAGATACGCAAATGTCATCATTGCAGTGTTTCACCTTACATTATTATTATTTTTATTTGAGAAATAGTAATCATTTTACACATAACCTTAAGCAGCCTATTGTGCAAATAAAACACAAGCAATTCATTGAGAAGTAGTTGTTACCCAAGAATTGCCTATCAAAGAGTTACTTTGTGAACTATAAGTCCGTTTTTTCATTCTGTTGGTGTTATGGCACTGTCATCAGTTTATTGAGGGTGGATTACAAAAAGGTTGCTCTGAAGCCACCTATATAACTTTCATTTGCTCTTTAAGCATGATTATAATACATGTATTTGCATATAGCTGCAGTCATAGTTTATTTCTATTTGCAGGACATACCTTTTACTGAACTATTATTTTTTTTAAGATTTTATTTATTTATTTGACAGACAGAGATCACAAGTGGGCAGAGAGGCAGACAGAGACAGAGAGAGGGGGAAGCAGGCTCCCCACCGAGCAGAGAGCCCAATGTGGGGCTTCACCCCAGGACCGTGGGATCATGACCTGAGCTGAAGGCAGAGGCTTTAACCCACTGAGCCACCCACGCACCCCTGAACTATTATTTTTAAAAATATATAATATGTTATCAGTTCATCTATAATGCTTGTATTAGTGAAAATATTTCAGGATGTGTGTTTTCTTTGCAGTCCTTACAGGGCCATCTCCTCCCCACTTGTGACAAACAGACTAACTCCAATTATTAGGTCCTGCACAGTTCTTAGGTTCTCTTTGATAGATATTGAGGGCCTCAAGCAGTTGGAGATAGGTGAGGATTTGTTACAAATTTGTTGCCAGGTTATAATGAAACACATGCTGGCACACATAAAAGCATCTGGCTAGCCAGTATAAATAAGTATCATAACTTGTTTTATAAGCTTATTGAAGTCCCAGCATTCTCTTCCCGTGCTGCAACAGAACCTTGCATAAAAAGGTACGGAGGTCAAACCCTTGGTATTTGCTTTCTCCCTCTGCCTCTCCCCCACCCACTTCTCTCTAAAAAAAAAAAAAAATTTTGCCTGAAGCAAATGTTTTGTAGGATTCTCTTGGCCACTTGGTTAACTCCTTTGACTAAGGATCCTCCTAAGTAGCAGCCGAGGATTCAAGGCTAAGTCATTCCTAAGGATAAAGGACTTTCTAGATTCATATATTCTTGCTCAAATGAGTATTACTAAAACGTTTTGGCTAATCCCGTATCTTAAACACCACTAATTTAATCTATGAAAATCCATTCCTAATATTCATTATGCTAGATAAAAGTTAGTTGAAGTACTTAAACCTTGGAGTGGGCTTTGGTCAAATGCTAACCAGCCACTCAGGAGTATTCACATTCCCAGTTAGGACAACTGACTGTGCCTGGGGCATAGACCAAAATGTGCACATTTATATCATCTGTCTATCCTAAAATGTGTTCAACAAAATTATAGGCCTCGTGACCCCACCTATATTTTTATGCTGTGGTGTTATAATGTAGGAATTTCTGTACCTTCTTCCCTCTCCCTTTTCCACTGAAAGTGCTAGTTCTCGATGTCTGTCTGACTACCTACCTTTCTTGTATTCTTTTTAATCTTTAAATAAATAAATATTTTATCTTACATTTTTAAAAAGTATTATATGTTGACTGAAGAAAATATGGAAGATGGAAAGAAGCAAATAGAAGAAAAAGATCAGCTACTATCCTACTGCTCAACAATGATTATAGTTTATGTTTTTTTCCATGTATCTACTTATATTAAAAAGGGAGACATCAAGATCTTATTTTATAAACTAACAATATATATGGATATTTCCTTGAGTTGTTGGCTAATTTAGCAAGGCAGTTGTTAACAGCCACATAAGATTTCACAAGATTTTTGTATGGATAGACCATAATTTACTTAATGGTCCCTTATTGCTGGACACTTAGAATATCTCCACTTCACTATTAAAGGCATTGCCAGACTTTGTACATTTAATTCCTTTCTGTTTTCTTCAGACATAGCTTTATGTACCCATCATTGGCTGTTAAAATGCCTATCTCCTTTTCCTTATATTTAGGTCACAATTCCTATGTAAGTCTTTAATTTAGATTTTTAAAAGTTGTGATTTTTAACTCTTCATTGATATAAACCTTATATTTGGATGAAGCATGTTAAAAATACTGTTTGGAATTTTTACCACCCTAATTAACTAGATTAACATACTTGTTTGTTTTAAAAAATAATTTTAGGAGTATATATCCTGGGAAAATATGGACAAAAGAAAATCAGAGAAATACAAGAAAGAGAAGCTGCAGAGTACATTGCTCAAGCAAGACGACAGTATCATTTTGAAAGTAACCAGAGGACTTGCAATATGACAGGTAAGGCAAAGAGAAATATTTATACATGTATATAAAGTTACTTGATGATTTATATTAATTTGCATACCTCCAGGACCAAAGAGGAAAAAGCAAAAGGATTTATATGATTTAACTGAAATACATCATTAAATGTTGATTTTTAAAATCAGTATAAATCAATATGCAATATACAATAAATGCTTGTTCATTCAGCTTATTTATTCATTCAGCAAATAATTGAGGTACCTAGAGCTGGGGAAATAAGGAGAATGATTAAAAAAAAATCCCTGACATTTAGAATTTATATGCTAATGAGAGTAACAAATGATAAACAACATATAAATAACTTAAGGCAATGATGGCTACTATAAGGAGAATAAAGATGTGTAAGGGAGCGGTTCTTTAAGAAATGGCAATCAGGAGAGTCAGGCCTCTTTGAGGAGGTGACATATGAAGAAAACCAAATGATTCAATGGAGGGAGCCATGCAGAATGCCTTCAAAGGGAACGGGCTTGACACTCAAGAATGCAAAAGGGGTATGTAGCTAGAGCAGAATGAGCAATGTAAGAGTAGTGGGAAGTAAGGCTGTAAGGATAGGCCTGATTTCATTAGGCCTAATAGCTGCAGTAAAAATTCCTGAGTGTGTTAAACTTACAGTAGGCAGCTACAAACCCGTGAGTGCAGCACAGAAGAGTACACTACTCAACAAGGATTAATGGTAATGATTTAACCTCCAGAGTTGGAAATCTACTGGGAGAATGCCATAACAAAATCAACTGCTCACATTTGAAGGGAATAGGCTTTATAACTGGTATAACCCCTTAAAGAATTAGTTCTCAAATCCATGTCAAACCTGGTTTTCTTTGTTATTGTTTAAAGCTTAATCTTTTCTCTAGCACTTCTTTTAAGAACAGTTAATTTAGAAAGAATTTGTAAAAGTAGGTTCTCTTTATTTACTTTTGAAAGCAGAATTTTTTTCTGAGTTTAAGACTTTAAATTTAGTACAATAATAGTACTTCATTCGATAAAGCAAATAGTGGTCATCAATACTGCATGTAATGACAACTCAGATAAAACACATTAGGAGGGCGCGTGATGTAATGAACACTAGGTGTATATGCAGTTGATGAATCACTGAACTCTACCTGTGAAACTAATAATACACTATAAATTAATTGAATTTAAATAAAAATTTTTTTAAAAACAGTGAGTTCCTAGGTTTTCCTTATAATATCCCTGTATCTTTGGGCAAATCTATATCTCATTTCTCTCTTCTATAAAATGATCATCATAAAACCCACTTCATAAATGTTTTATAGAATGTGAAGAGATAATGCATGTAAAGTGCTTAGTGCATAATACTCAGTAAATGATAACTTTTATTTAAAAGTTACATAATTTTTGGGGTGCCTGAGTGGCTCAGTCAGTTAAGCATCTGACTTTTGATCTTGGATCAGGTCTTGATCTCAGGGTCATGAGTTCAAGCTCTGCATTGGGCTCCATACTGGATGTGGAGCCTACTTAAAAAAAAAAAGTTATATAATTCTTTAAATTGATATTTAGCATTCAATGAAGTGATGCTATCAAGGACATGTTAATGACTTTTTAGAAAATAAGTACAGTGCATTTCTGGTTATTACTCAGATTTTCAGAAAATAGAAATAGGTAGTCTAGAGTTTGCAAATCCATCTCCATTTGACATGGACTTTTGTGTCGGTTTGGGTTCCCTGGAAAACAGATGCTAAGATGGGATTAGATGTGCAAGAGATATATTGGGGGGGTGGGGAACACCTGCAAAGAACAAAGGGGAGGGAGCAGAGGAGGCGAGGGAAGCTTTCAGACCATAGTGCAGGTCTCACACATGAATGGAAAGGGAGAAGGAAAGAAGATTAGATAAGAAGAGTTTCAGCCTATAGCACAGTTTCAAGAAAGTTTTGGCAGGCCAGTGGGGAGTCCTTAAGTCAAAGCTCTCTGGAACGGATCTCTGTTAGTATCACCACACCACTCTTCCAGCTGGGAGCGTGCAGACATGGTAATGGATCCAAAGGGGTCACAGCTGGGCTGCCAGCCAACCATGCTCCTCCTAGCAGATTTGGTGGAACATTTCCATGACCACCACAACCCTCAGATGAATAAATGGCTGCAGATAGGTAATTAAAAATAAAATACGGTAGGAGCCAAATAGAAGCTCACTGGAACACTTTCCAAATTAGCTTTCTGGTATGCATTGATAATGGGGTTATAAATCATATGATTAAATTTCTATCCTTTTGAATAAGGTGCAATGGATATACTAGAAAAATGTCATAGCTCTAGGTATATATGACTAGTTTTTTTTACCCAAAAAGTTGGCCCCAACTTGAAAGATACCATCTAATAAAATGTTTCTGTATTCTGCCCTATGGCTTTATCTTCTTCATGATTTTTACTGAATATTCAGGAGAAATACTTATTAAATTTATATATGACACAGTGCTAGGCTGGGATAAATGAATTGTTCTGCATTAAAAGTCAGTTGTACAGATACACAATTATCTAAGCTTGCTTGCAAGCAGGATATATGAGTAAGGTTTGGGAGTTCTAGTTGAGCACAAACTGGTTATAAAGACTTTAATATGATTTCTAGAAGTACTAATTTAGTCTTAGACCACAAAAATAAAATCTGATTCAGATCACAGGTAGTTGCATCATGCTCTGGAATCGTCAGAGTGCAGGTCCATTTCTGCCTCTCATATGTTAAGAAGATACAAACTGGAGGGGTGCCTGAGTGGCACAGTTGGTTAAATGCCCAACACTTGGTTTCAGCTCAGGTCATAACCTCAGCCTCATGAGATCCAGTCCCAGGCAGGGCTCAACGCTAAGTGCAGAGTCTTCCTGAGATTCTCTCTCTCCCGCTGCCCCTCCTACTCATGCTTTCTCTTTCTCTCAAATAAATAATTTTTTTAAAAAGAAGAAGAAGAAGAAGATACAAATTGGAGTGTATCAGAAAAGGCCAAACAAGGATAATAACAAGGGCTGACACTGAGCGTTCTCATGTGCAAATATTCTAAATGCTTTGTATGTCTCAGTTAAACCTTACAACAATTCTGTAAGATAGATCCAAAGTTATCCTCAGTTTACAGAGAAAACAGAGGCACTGGAGGGTTAAATAACTTGCTCAGGGTCACACAGATTCAGTAGCTGGTGAAGGGTTGTCTTGTGATTTGTGGTTGGACTGGGGGGTGTTTATCATGGAGACCAGATGTCTAAAGGAAAACATGAATGCTGCATTCAACTAGGTACAGAAACATATTTGTTCCGTGTTTTTTAAAAAACTGCCTGGAAGAAAAGAATTGACTTGTCTTCGGTTGAATAGACTGAAGGGGAAAGTGAAAAGCTCTTATCTTTCAGAATTGTTGAAGAGACTCCTCTCAAATCATGTTGTTTTACCGCATAATCTTTAAATTCATTCCTTACTAACTCCATTTTCTGTATGTAGGATTCTAAACCTTAATTTTTCTTGGTTGGCTAACATATTGCATTTGGGCTAGGCATATGTACCAAATACGCTGAGATAAGCTACCTTTTCCATTGGCTCTGAGCTGTGACTTTAGTAAATAATCTAAATGACTTAGGTGATTTAATCATACGGCTTGAGGAAATACACTGAAGCTCCATAATACAGCACTGAAATAGGTGTCTAGAGTAGGCTAAAAGCTAAATGTTCTATAGAAAAAAATAATATGGGTTTTATAATTGGTATGTCTGACGTAGTCAAGAAATAAAAATCACCCACTGAAGTTTTTCCCTTTTAGAATGTGGTATTTGTGATCTCTTGATATTTTTTCATTTTGTTATCATTACTTATTTAGTGTTAGAAACTCATTTTAAATTATTATATGTGCATTTCTCCAACTTTTCTTATACCATGCAGGAACCATAAATAAAGTAACTTCTATAAATTACATGCAGTCTTTTTTCCATAGAGCACTATGTCTTAATGTTATTCTTGGGGAGTTACAGGCAATAACCTTTGGCAAAACCAAAGTACAACTCAGCAGTTCTTAATTCCCAGCCTGATGCACTTTTGTCTAGGTTTCAGTACGTGCTTACTGCTTTGTAATATTTAATAAACTTTTCTAAAAATAGAAATAAAATATGAAACAGAAAGTGTAAAGATAAAAATGTTGTTTTGTTCATTTTATTATATCAGAAATAAATTCATTGTAAAAAAAAAAAAAAATTGGGGATTGCCTGGGTGGCTCAGTGGGTTAAGCCTCTGCCTTCAGCTCAGGTCATGATCCCAGGGTCCTGGGATCGAGCCCCACATCCGGCTTTCTGCTCAGCGGGGAGCCTGCTTCCCCTGCTCTCTCTGCCTGCCTCTCTGCCTACTTGTGATCTCTCTCTCTGTCAAATAAATAAAAAAAAATAAAATCTTTAAAAAAAAATTTGGAGAGTACAGAAAGAAGAGAAAAAGAGATGATTATTATTATTCCATCATCCAGAGACCACCACTTTTCACATCTCAGAATAATTCTTCCCATTCTTTCTTGTATGTTTACATTGCTATAGTCATAGTATATATATAATTCTACCACTTAATGTAAGCAGTTAAATGATTTGTTAGCATAAACTCAGTTTTTCTTATTCTTAATAATAACAACTTGAAACTCTACCCCCAACATTCCCTCCCAACCCTTGCTAGTTGTTAGTCCAATCATATAGCCTAAAACAACATGCGTTTCTCAGTGAAGGCAGTCATATCACTTGCAACCTTTTTTATTTTCTGTTTGCATCACAGTGTTGTCCATGCTTCCGACACTGAGAGAGGCCTTGATGCAACAACTCAATTCTGAGAGCCTAACCGCTCTGCTAAAAAACAGGTAAATGCAAGTTAACATCATTTTTTGTTTATACAGGTCACTTAAATTTATAGAATGAACTGAAATATTTTTCAAACATCTTTGTTTCTTTATTTTTCTAATTGATGCTTGTAATATACTCATTTAGAAAAAGTACTTTGTGACTCTGTCACTAAATTCATTCTATTTTGTCTGTGTATTTTTGTTCTACCTTGGTGCACAAAGGAGGCCAACAATATATATATTTAGGTCAACAATATTTATGTGCATTCTGGTTTTCATATAAATAGATCTTTTATCACTTTGGCCTTATTCAGAAATGTAATTATTGAGTGCTTACGGAATGTGTTTCTGAACCAGATGTTGTGAAGCTAAGTTATGTTAAACATTGTGCTTCTTAAAGAGTTTACAGTATAATAGGTAAAACGTGAACATTTTGAGAAAGGCATATGAATTTACATTTTATATTATTAACAAAATGAAGTGCAAATATAATATGAGTGTACAATAATAATAATTTACCTTACCATCACAGTTCTCTGAGCACAAAGCACTTTTTACACATAGGACTTTATATATGGAGTACAGCATGTGTTGGGATTTTGTAATTTAGTGTGATGCTGTGTTCATTGAGGAAACTTCCAGAAGGAAATGGCAAGATGAAGGGAAATGAACAAGATGAAGGGAAATGTTTTATTTTATTTTATTTTAATGAACAAGATGAAGGGAAATGTTTTCAGTAAATAAATTTTCATCATTGTGACCTTACTGAAGTATTCACTTCCCTTGTAATTACCTTCCAATAGCCAGGGAGAAGGAAATACTATTTCTAGAGGGTCTCTCTATGCTGAGCCCAGGACTAAACACCTTATGTACATGCTTCCATTTCATTTTCACAATATTCTTGTGAGGCAGATATTATCATCATCTGTATTTTACAGAGAGGAATTTACTACTCAGGTTAAATAACAAGCTAGAGAATTTCTTTAAAAGCATTTTCTCTATTCAGAGAATTCTTCCCAAAATAACAATGGATTTGCTTGCTTGGGATTTTTTTAATCTGATTAAAGTATAATGCTAGTCATACAAATTTTATCATTTGTAGAGGATGATGCATTTTCACCACTCGATAGTTATAAAGTTTAGCTTATAAATTAGTTCATATAATTATATACATAAGAAACATGAAAGCAGATTTCTCTTGGTCAAATGAATGCTTAATTACCACCTATGGGTACATAAGTAGAAGGTAAAGAAATATGTACCTGGGGCACCTGAGTGGCTCAGTTGGTTGAGTGTCCGACTCTTGATTTTTGGCTCAGGTCATGATCTGAAGGTGGTGAGATGGAACCCTGCATGGGGCTCCATGCTCAGCAGGGAGTTAGCTTCTCCCCCTCTTCCTCTCTCTCTCTGCCCCTCCCACCACTCAGTCTGTCTCAAATAAATAAATCTTCAAGGAAAAGGAAAAATATACGTAAGAAGTAGATAAAGAACAGAAATAGGTTTTAATTGCCTAAGTTTTAGTCTTACTAGGAAACTAAGACAAATGAAATAAGTGAATAGCACTTTATAAAAGCAACGTAATAACAGACATAAAAAATATAGTAGCATTCTTCCCTCTTGGTGACTGTTTCCTGCAAGGCCCTGTGTTGCCTATGTTTTGGAGTATTTGAGATAATTAAGATCTCTTTCCCTTTAAGACTTTGTCACCCAAAGAAAGGAGTATATGACAAATTATGATAATTCAAGATATATTGTGTTTAGTCTATGATAAAAAGTGAAAGGAAAATGTGGGCACAAAATGTGGGAGGCTAAAGAAGGGATTTATTTTGATGGATAACCCTGGACAGCTTTCAAGAAGAGGTGTCATTCCTCTTTTCTTAGTACACAAAATTCCTTAAATTCCTGAGTTTATTATTCCTTACTTACTGTTTCCTTTTTAAGTCTCTCAGTGCTATTTTTTTCTTGCCTTTCTTTTGACATAAAATTACTGTTTGTAGTTTGGGATAAAAATGTCCATTTGAAAAATATTTGCATAGAGAGGGGCTTGAGCCCTTACAAACGTGTTTAAATAAGGAAATGATTTTCCTTATTTCATGATTTAAGGACCTTGCAGGATGTACACCATACATCTTGAACTTGTGTCATCTAGGAATGGGATAACTGAACTCTAGAGTCAGTTCAATGGCAAAGAAAGATAAGAAGCTAGTTATATGCCACAATTGTAATGGTAACTCAACTTTTTACTAAAATGTAAATTTATGTCTAAATATAATAATAAAGAATATGGGTTTATAGTTTGTATATCTTTGTGGCTTTTTATTTCATTTTCCTTCTAATTTATTTGTATTGTATTTTACAAAAGTACTAGTTTGTGACAGATTGGAAATAAAAAAGGAAAATAAAATTGGTCCTTCCATGTAGATGATTTGAAAAGCACTGAACTCCATCTACATGGTATATCTACACAGTGGCGCACTGTGCCATGGTAAAAAAAAAAAAAAAAAAAAAAAAAAACAACTAAAGAAAATGCGTATAGTATGCTACCATTTATCTAAGAGGGCAAATTGCATATATAAGGCAAAACAATGATAAGTTAAAGTAAAAATTTTTAATAGTCACCTATGAAGAAGGGAGAGAGTAAAAGGGAATACAAACAGACTTACTTGAATATACTGTGCTGTGTAAATTTGACTTTAGAACCATGTAAACCTTTTACATATTTATAAAACTAGTGTTTACAAAACAATGTCTAGAAAGAGATAGTAAAATAAACCAACCTAAATGTGTAGTTGCTGTTATAACCACAAAGATAGAAACTATACCAGGTACAAAATCCTTAAAACTCTTCAATATTGCTATTGCTGTTCTGAGACTGTTGTTCATAGAGGGAAGGATGAAGCAAATTAGTAATTACATTGGTTTCATTGATTGCTAGTGTAGGCAAAAAGAAATAAATGTAAGATCAAGGAGATGAAGTTAAAAACCCTGGTAGTTTTAACACAGTTACTAGCTTAGTCTACCAAAAGGGCTTAGTAGCAATTAACATCCTTAATCAGAGATCATAGTTACGGACTATCATTTTCTGCTACAAAGAAGCAGGACTCTTTTTTTTTTTTTTTTTTTTTTTTTAAGATTTTGTTTATTTGTTTGTCAGAGAGAGAGCAAGAGCACAAGCAGGGGGAGTGGCCGGCAGAAAGAGAAGCAGGCTGCCTGCTGCAGGACTCCATCTCAGGACCCTGGGATCTTGACCTGAACCAAAGGCAGACACTTAACTGATGAGCTACCCAGGTGTCCTGGAAGCAGGACTCTTGGAGAAAGGGTGATTTCAGGTCTGCAGCAAAAATTAAACAAGATGAACCCATGGAGTGCTGGGTGGCTCAGTTGGTTGAGTGTCCAACTCTTGATTTTGGCTCAGGTCATGTTCTCAGGGTCCTGAGATCTAGCTCCACAAAGGACTCCATGCTCAGTGGGGTATCTGGTTGAGATTTCTTTTTCTCCCTGTCCCCCTGTCCCTTCCCTCTCCCCACTTATGCACTCTCTCTCTAAAATAAATAAATAAATCTTTAAAAAAAAAAAAAAAAAGGTGAACCCAGAACAACTTTTCTTGTCAGTAAGCAAGGAAGCTATCAAAAACTAGTAGGGTAATGTCAAAAGGATTCAGGAACCAGTCTGAAATAGCACCCACAATATTGGGTCAAAGACGGGCAATTTGAACACCAATAAGAATAATAAATACAGTGAGTCAAACATTAAATATATACTTATATATATTTAAATTCTTATGTTTACAATGCTATTTTAAAACAAAAAATACTTTATTATTTACCTTTGAAGGATTACTGACATGCTTCATTATTTGTGAAATGGTAAATGAGGGAAAGAAATAAACAATTTTCTTGATTTTCCTATATGATTTTATGGTATATATGCATATGCTCAGAAGGAGGATAAGAACCAGAAAGATATATACCAATACACTAGTGAAAATGGTTGTGGGTTTTGTTTTTTTTTTTAAGATTTTATTTATTTATTTGAGAGAGAGATGTAGAGAGAGCAAGCATAAGCAGAGGGAAGAGGCAGAAGTAGAGGAGAAGCAGACTCCTCTGAGCAGGGAGGCCAGTGCTGGGCTCAATCCCAGGACCCTGAGATCATGGCCTGGGCTGAAGGAAGACGCTTTGAGATACTTAGGTGCCATGTGAAAATGGTTGTTATCATTGGTTACTGAAATTACAGGTTTTTTTTTTACTATACTTACTATATTTTGTGGGCTTTGTTTCCTATAGTTCCTATAGTTATCCTGTAATAAAATAAAATTAATTATAAAGATAATAAAGTTCTAAGTTTTTTATTAGATTACCTGATTACTATTCTTTACATTAGGCCTTCAAACAAGTTGGAAATATGGGAGGATCTGAAGATAATAAGTAAGTCTTCCTACTTTGTGTGACAGCACATCTTTAAAATACATATAAAGGGAAATTTTTATACTCTTTTATGTGGATGACCCTTTTCTACCTCATAAAGTTGTCCACATTAAATAATTCTCATAAACAAGTTGATCAATATCTGGTCCTAGAAAGTATTCAGGAAATATTAGTGGTGGTGGTAGTATTACTGTTGTTATTATTATGATATGTAAACCTGTCCTAGACCACATATGCCTACATTAGGTACTGATACCTACAATATTATGTCTTTTTTTTTTTTTTTTTTTTTAGAGAGAGGGAGAGAAAGAGTGTGTGAGGAGACTGGGAGGGGCAGAGTATATAGTGTATACAGAGTATACACACAGGTCTCAGTACTTTATACTACCAAGCATTCCTACATTTTCCCATCCATTCATATGATCCTTATCAACTAAATTATGCTTTAGCTTTGCCTATTTAAAAATAAATTAAACCTTTATAGTACTCTGTTTCAACCACCCCTTATATAATACCAAAGACTTCTACATTCTTCCCTCCCACTCATTCCTTGACACCCTAGAGCCTGACTCCTACTTCTGTGTCTCCACCCAAACATATCTCACAAGCACCAATAGTAACTTCTGTGTTACTAAATCTACCGGACATTTTCCTCCTTCTAGACCTCTTGGCAGCATTTAACACCTTTGCTTTCTCCTCTGTTTTGAACACTCTGTCCCAGGCTGCTGTGAAGCTAGTCTCTGGGTGTCCCCCATCTGTCCCTTTCTCTAGCCCTTAGATGGTCTCAGCCTCCTTTACCTGCTATTGCAAACTGGAGTTCTTCCATGCTCAGCCCTCTACTCTCAGCTCTCAGCTAGCTCCCTGAACAGCTCAGAGTTCTGAGGCTACAAATCTCAGTGTTTCCCAGGTTTTTTGTGTTCTCCTTTCTAACTAATAATATGTAACTCTTTACTCAATATATTGATTATTGCTTTTATTAGTTATTTTTTCAATTAAGAGATGATACCTAATTTACATTAAACACGTTGTAAGGAGATAGACAATGAATATTTTGAATTGATATATTTTTGTACTTGAAACAACTGCAAATGTATTTCTTAAAGTCATCTTGTAAAAAAGAATAACCATAGGGATAGTTTGTGATTTTACATATTTGTTTGTTTTAATAATAGTACCAAATGGTTATCTTTTCTCTGTGAAGGTTTCACAAGAAGTATTGTAGCAGTATACAGTACTTGTATGCTGGTGGTTCTTTTGCGAGTCCAGTTAAACATAATTGGTGGATATATTTACCTGGATAATGCAGCAGTTGGCAAAAATGGCACTGTAAGTTTCATAAACTTAACATACATAAATGCCCTTTGTATTAAGATTTAATTGGATTTAACTGAATATTACTTACCCTATTAATTTCTATAAGATGGGAATTTATATTTCATGTGATTATAAACTTCTAGCATTATTTTTCATATTTTGAAACTAGACTTTTTGTTAGGTTAAAGAATATTATTTTTTCTATCATTTCAGGTCCTGACAAGTCTCAGCTCAAGTTATACTTTATAGTAAACTTATATAGTATATATTTATAGTAAGTAACCTTGTTTCTATTTTGTACAGACAGTTCTTGCTCCCCCAGATGTCCAACAACAATATTTGTCAAGTATTCAGCACCTCCTTGGAGATGGTGAGATTATTTGTGACCTGGAAACTAATTTTAATTTGTTCATTTTTATTATTGAGGAACTTAAAGTGAACAAGGCTTTTATGTTTGTTTTTCCTTTAATAATAGGCCTAACAGAATTGATCACAGTCATTAAACAAGCTGTGCAGAAGATTTTAGGAAGGTAAGGCATTTTGCTTTGGCTTCTCTGACTTCCTGATTCTGGTGAATAAAAGAAAAATAAGAATTGTTCTAGTGAAGCTGGTGATTTGACAAATGGTAGTTTGTAAAATTCTTTGTAACCTTATATAGACACAGCCCTGAGATACTGCATTGTGAATCCATTTTCTGCATTAGTGCCAACCTTTTGATACTAAGGGAACAGGTTTAATATTTAATTGTTTACTGATTGACTTCCAAACAAACCAGAAATATTTGGGTCATAACATAAAATACCTACTTTAAAATCTGCCTCTGAGCCTTTTATCTTCCATTTATACTAGTACTTTCTATAATTACAGTGGGAATTTTCTTGTGAAATCTACAGCAAGACTTGATGTGGCTCTGTAATAATGACACTTAACTGATGACTGATTTCTTAATCTACTCTAGTGATTTCAGTCAGCAGTTTCAGGTTTGAGTGGATCTCAGAGAGTAATCTGTTTAAAAAAGAGTGTGTATAGGATGTGTTGTATAGTTTCAATTTATCCCAATTCCCTTTTCTCTGTTTCTAGCGTTTCTCTTAAACATTCTTTGTCTCTTTTGGACTTGGAACAAAAACTAAAAGAAATCAGAAATCTAGTTGAACAGCATAAATCTTCTTCTTGGATTAATAAAGATGGATCCAAATCTTTATTATGCCATTATATGATGCCAGATGAAGAAACTCCATTAGCAGTTCAGGTGATTAATTCATAACCATTTAACCAAACCAGTTATTCTATATTTAAAAAATTTTTTTTACTATCTCTTGAAATTTAGATTTCTGAGGTTCTTGAAAGACTCATGATTAAAAGGCCTGTATTCCGGGGCACCTGGGTGGCTCAGTCATTAAGCATCTGCCTTCGGCTCAGGTCGAGATCTCAGGGTCCTGGGATTGAGCCCTGCATTGTGCCCCGCATTGGGCTCCCTACTCAGCTAGAAGCCTGCTTCTCCCTCTCCCACTTCACCTGCTTGTGTTCCCTCTCTTGCTGTCTCTCTCTCTGTCAAATAAATAAATAAAATCTTTAAAGAAAAATTAAATAAAAGGCCTGTATTCCAATAACTTAAATAAAACTTCATTAATTTAGAAAACAAACAGCAATTATGACTGATTTCTAATTAGAAACATAATTTTAGATTTCAGCAAATTTTTATTGAGTATTAGTTATGTGAAAGACACTGTGATATATGATTCATATAAAAAATGAATAAAACCTGTTCATTATATTTGGAGGAACTCTTGAGAAAAGTTCAGTTTATGTGGCTAAACTATATTGTATCAGACTAAGTAGCAGAAGATAGAGCTGATAGCTGGGACAAGATCATGATCAAGATCATGAGCTTCAATTTATAGAAAAAGACAAATTTTAACCAGACCAATACCACAATTACACAATCTGCTTTTTAAATAAATCAATGAAGGCAATATCAAAATGGACTAAAGGAAATTTTAGTCATCCACTTGAGAAACAAATAAGGCCTGACCTAACAGTTATCAGCTATGGTGTTGCTCCGTACAGGTGTGTCCTGGGCAGTTGTGATTTATTCATTGATTAAGAATAAGAAAAATGTTGGAGCACCTGTCTGGCTCAGTCAGTGGAACATGCAGCTCTTGATCTCAGGTCATGAGTTTGAGCCCCATGTTGGGTGTAGAGATAAATAAACTTAAAATTAAAAAAAAGAAGAAAAATGTCAAAGATTGCAGGTTATATATATCATTTTAAAATATTGGGGTTTTTTCATATGTAAGCAGGTTATACCATTCTTTACAGTTAAGAGAAGAATATCTCACTTGACAACTGGAGAAACCTTAAACCCAAGAGGCTTCTAAGCTATACCTTGTCCTAGAGGCCCCATTAGAACAAAGACTACCATGGTTTTCAATGCCAGCTGTATTTCCATCCGCAAACATAGTCCTGTTTGGGTGTCCAGAGACCTTGCCTTCATGACTAGGCCAAAGAAAGGGTTGTAGCCATTTAGGGGAACCCCATGACCTATAGGATGCAGGCTAAACTGAATAAGTGAATAGATGAAACAGAATTAATGAAAGAAAAAGGAGATAACTTATAAATTCTTCTCAAGAAGATGCAATATTAAAGAAACTTTCTGGAACAATAAAACAGTTTCCAAATTTTAAAATTCAACAGTGGAACTAAAAGAGAAAATGGTTCAAAGAACAGGTGAAGAAAGGAATGACAGACTCAATCTTACCTGAACTGAATTAAACCCTGAAACTTTAGACTGACAGGACACACAGAGCCCCAGACAAGACTAGACTTGATGAAAAAAGACATGGAGATTTTGATAAAATGTCTTACCAATTAAAGAAAAAAAAAAAATCCCAGTCCTCTGGAACCTCAAAGGACTCTTTTTCTTTGTAAATATATTCTAGAAATGTGCTCAACAGGGTCCAAATAAACAAGGATCTTACAAAGTATAATTTTACTTTGACTCATTTTTTTAGTAGAGTTGACACACAATGTTGCATTAGTTTCATAGGTAAAAATAGTGATCCCAGTCCCACATCGGGCTCTCTGCTCAGCAGGGAGCCTGCTTCCTCCTCTCTCTCTGCCTGCCTCTTTGCATACTTGTGATCTCTATCTGTCAAATAAATAAATAAAAATCTTTAAAACAAAATAGTGATCCCATAAACCTATACATTATGCTATACCACAAGTATAATTTCTATCTGTCCCCATACATCCCTATTATAATATTATTGATTATATTCCTGATGCTGTGCTTTTTATTCTCATGACTTACTTATTCCATGACTGGAAGCCTTTATCTCCCACTCCCTTCACCCATTTTGCCCAGCCCTTCACAACCCTCCCCTCTGCAACCATCAGTTTGTTCTCTATATTAATAAGTCATATTCTGCTTCTTGTTTCATTCATTTCTTTGTGTTCCACATATGAGTGATACCATATTGTATTTTTATTTTCTTACTTCACTTAGCACAATACCCTCTACATCCATCTATGTTGTCTTAAACGGTATCGTCTCATCCTTTTTTATGGCTGTGTAATATTCCCATGCACGTGTGTGTGTGTGTGTGTGTGTGTGTGTGTGTGTGTGTGTGTGTGTGTATTGTATGAGCCAGTAATTCTACTATTGAGTATTTACTCAAAGAAAACAAAAACACTAATTTTATACATACACTCCTATGTTTATTGCAACATTATTTGCAATAACTAAGATTCTGACTCATGCTTTAAATAGTACTCACCTATACATATGAACTTTTACAGTTTTCTTGAGTTTAAAAAACTTATTTCTTGATTTTTAATAAAACATAGACTTGTAGATTTCCTGAACTCTTGGGGTTTTTAATATGATTAGTTTCGTCATAACTTTGTGCTAATATTTGAAACCCTAAAGTATAGCATTTTAATTTCACAGGCCTGCGGGCTTTCTCCTAGAGATGTTACCACTATTAAACTACTCAATGAAACTAGAGACATGTTGGAAAGGTATGTATACTGCATGTAACAGAAAACATGTGTTTCTATTTTGAATGTACTTATGACTGTTTTTTAGCTTTTCTTAAACGACATATGCAATGTAGTATCTTGTTAAAATTATATTTTGAATCTGTTCCCTGTCTTTAGGTAAGATTTCCTATCTAATGTTTCTTTTATTAAGGTGATAAGAGAAACAGATTTTTATCAAGATGTCCATGCCTTCCTCAAGCTACTTCCTTAGCCTAGAGATTCTGAAATACTAGTTGAGGGACTAGAACATAGTAAGCATTTATATTTTGAGAAAAGCTCTCGGGGGTGATTCTGATATACCCAGTGTATTAGTAAATGTTTAACAACTAGCTCTGTAAAACAAACAAACCAGAAACTGAAATTGTAGCGGCAGCAGTTCTGACTACTAACTTGAAATCACTTGATACCGACTTGAGGAGTTGGGGAGAAGTGCACTTTCAAGCCAGAGATAGCCAGCTCCAGGTAGTCCTCATATATACCACACGCACACATATGCAATATGTGTACACTCCCCCCCTACACACACACACACACACACACACACACACACACACACACACACACACTCAGTTTTGAGAATGCTCCCCCTAATCCTCTAATCCTCTCAGGATAGACTATAATGTCCCTAAAACTTTGAGGGATAAAAATTTCACATCTTCCCCAAATTGAGTATTACTGTTTTAAGTCACCCAGAAGACAACCAGAGTGTTAAAAATGGAGAAAGCATCAGACTATGCAGTAGAAGACTGGAAGACCTAGATTCAGTTTTGGCTTTCCTGCTCATTAGCTGTTCAGCATTGGCTGAGCCACTTAAACTCTTTGAGGTGATTTTATCATTGTAGAATCTGAGTAGTAGTACCAGTCTTAAGTGGTTAATATATCAAAGTTTCTTTTATCCTCAAGATAATTTAGAACCATTTTCTTTAGTTTTATTTTTGGAGGAAATTATCGTCTCTACTTATATTTTCTTGATCATGACAAAAATCAGCAAATTTGGAGTTTAACTCAGCTATTGAATCTACTGTATGATTTATCAAGTTCTAGTCTCTTGATTTTCTACAATAGCCATTTCCACATATTTTCTTATTCCAGTTTCCACCAAATCACTCGACGAAGTTCTTCTAGAAAAGGTCATCATTGATCTCTTGCCAAATCCAGTCAAAAATGTTCATCTTACTTGGCCATTCTCTGATAATTAACGCTGTTGATCAAGCCTTTCTTAAAATTCTTTTCTCAAGTGGCTTCCATGACCGTTATCTCCTAATTTCTCTCCATATTCTCAGATTATTTCTTCTTAGTTTCCTCTTTATCTGTCTTTCTTACAAACATTAGTTTTCTAAGGTATTTGTTCTTATTTCATCCTCAGCTGTCCCAAGTAATTTCATATTCCCCCATTGCTTTAACAACTATCTGTATGCTAATAATTCCCAAATGTATAGCCCCTTGCCCAACACTCCCATGCACTTGAGATTTCTAGATGTCAAAGATCAAATTAATCTGTTCAACTAGGTATTTTCTAACTTTATAACACATATATATTATTCTTTTTTTTTTAAGATTTTTTTATTTATTCATTTGACAGAGAGAGAGAGAGAGAGAGATCACAAGTAGGCAGAGAGGCAGGCAGAGAGAGGAGGAAGCAGGCTCACTGCTGAGCAGAGAGCCCGATGTGGGGCTCGATCCCAGGACCCTGAGATCATGACCTGAGCTGAAGGCAGAGGCTTAACCCACTGAGCCACCCAGGCGCCCCTATTATTCTTTATATCAAAGAGGTTTGGGGGCTTATGGGTAGTTCAGTAAGTTAAGCATCCAACTCTTGATCTCAGCTCTTTAGCTATCCTTTTTGGATAGATGATCTCAAGGTTGTAAGTTCAGTCCCCAGACTGGGCTCCAAGCTGGGCATGGAACCTACTTTAAAAAAAAGAGAGGTTTTGTGTTACATAATGTAACAAAAAGAGCTTGAACTTTAAGATCAAAAAGGCCTGGCTTCAAATTCTAGCTCTCCCATTTACTAATTACATACCTTTGGACAAATTTCCTCATCTCTTAAGTATCCATTTTCTCATCTGTACATGATAATAAAACTTTCTGTCTCACTGGGATGTCATGACACAGTATGTAAAGCAAACCATTATCTGTGACTTTAAGATGATTCCTCTTCAAGAGTTTCCTAAAGAGGGGTGCCTGGGTGGCTCAGTCAGTTAAGCATCTACCTTCAGCTCTGGTCCTGCTCTCAGGATCCTGGGATCAAGCCTCTTGACATTAGACTCTCTGCTCAGCGGGGAGCCTGCTTATCCCTCTCCCTCTGCCTACCCTTCCCCCTGCTCGTGTTCTCTCTTTCCCTGTCAAATAAATAAATAAAATCTTAAAAAAAAAAAAAAAATGTTCCCTGGAGAGAAGTATTACCGTTATTGATATTTTTGAAAACGCATTGTACAAAATGCTGGATGATATTAAAAAAACTCACAAAATCATTGTGTTGTGCTAAATAATAAGCTCACTTTTTATGCTTCATTGTTAAAGATTAGCTCCTTGATATAATCTTACAATGTTTTAGGCTATAAAAAGCAGTTTGTAACTAGAAATATTGGTGGCTGTCAAAGATAACAACATAGTTACTGAATTTATTTCCTTTTCCATTGAGAATCTAAAAAGCAATTTATCCTTCTTATTTTGTATAGTCCAGATTTTAGTACAGTTTTGAATACATGTTTAAACCGAGGTTTTAGCAAACTGCTAGACAATATGGCTGAGTTCTTTCGACCTACTGAACAGGACCTTCAACATAGCAACTCCATGAGTAGGTAAGATGACAAAAAATGTTATGTGTCTAATGAATACTCTAATAAAAGAGTGCTTTGGATGTGTTTATTTTTTGTTCCAGGTAATTAAAAAAATCTTAGAGGATAAATTTGATTGATCATTTGTCAACAAATTAAACTCCCTTAAACCAATGACTCTGTAGAAGCTCCTTCTGGATTCAATATTAAAAATTTCATTTCTTCCCCAAATTTTGCCACTATATGGAAATAAACAGTGAAACTACCTTTCTGTAAGCCAAGTTCCAGTTCTAGTTCTTGGGTTTGGTTTTTTTTTTTTAACTCTTTAGAATATAAAACTGAAAATGTATTTAATTACTATAAGCCATAATTGGCCCACATAATTCAGTAGTTTGGACATTAAAATAACAAAGCAGTCTTGTTATAAATTCCCATTTGATGAATTATTTCTTACTTCTACAACTACATAATGTATTCATTTTTAGCTCTTATTGTAGGATTGGGAGTATTTAGTTAGTGCAATTGTTAGTAATTTTAATCACCATTATTTCTAAGTCATATAGTCATACTGCTAAAATATATCATATGGTTTTATTACATTCTTATTTTGGCATGAATATTTTGGGTGTCCTAGCAGAATTTATACTCTTTAATAATCTATTTTGTAGATTTTTTATATTAGACTCAGAAAACATTAAGTACTAAACCAATGTTAACTGACTATAAACTAGTCCATTAAAATGAAAAGAAACAGTAAGTGATATGCAGTATGTATGTGTAACGTCCAATTTAATTCATAAATATATAGGGTAAGAAATTATTTACTCAGTTCTCTGGAACCCTTCTTCATTGTATAAAAAAGAATAATTTGCAATTAACATTGAGGATTTGGAATACTTAGAGCAATAACATTTATCTTCTTTAACAATTTAAATATCACCCTAAATTTTTTTTAGATTTAAGTTATACAAAAATAAATTTCAGCCCCTGTATACTCCCTAAATCAGGTTGTTCCAATTAATAAAACTTCACTGTAATCTCTGCCTAGCATGGTGTTAGTTATTTCCTGAGTAGGGATAAAGAATTATAATAGTTGTTTTAATACAAATACTTGACCTTATACCCTAAAGAATTACAAAAATTTTGTTATAACCACATCAGCCAGTAGTTTAAACTCCTACAGTTTTCCATATTTTACTTTCTCATACAACCTACATTTTTCACCTCAAATCATGTTCCTCAGTTATATTTTAATGCTTCTCTCAAAGTCAGAGATTATCTAATGCCCTTGCATATCTCATTACACACACAAGGTATTCAGTAGATATCTCCTGTCTTAAGTTTTTTCTCTTCTGTATCAGTAATCAACTTAATACTCCATAATTCAATACTAGAAATATTTCCATTATGCCTTATGCTATTCCTTTTATTTAAAATGTAGTGAAAGTTCTAGCCATCACTGCAATTCAAGAAAATAGATTTTCAGTTATTGGCAAAGAGACAAAATGGTCTAGAACCTTTAAGAGATTCAACTGGAAAGTGATGCTAACTAATACAAGCTCAAATTATATAAATATATATGTGTGTGTGTGTGTGTATGTGTGTATTAATATGTATATCTTCCCATAGTACTATATACATATAACATATGCACATAATATATAATATTCAAAAAATTATTGAAAAAGTAAGCAACAAATATACTTTCCTTATAAAACATATAAGGTGAAATTATTAGAATAATATGTTATTCATAATAGATAAACCAATAGAATAGTATGTAAAATCCAGAAACAGGTTCTAAAATATACAGGAAATTAGTACATGATGAAGGTGAGGAAGAGATGTATTATTTAGTAAACAGATTAGTCATTTTACAGTGACTATTGTAAAATAATAATAAATTTAGACCCTTTTGTACCATACACATAGCCAAAAAAGCCAAGAGGTTTAAACAATAAAAACAAATGAACAGGTGAATAGGAAAATGGGAATTATGAGATCAAGTTGGAGAATTGAGCACATACAGATTATGGTTGTCATCTTGAGAGTCCTGGGGAACCACAAGGGAAGTGGCAGGAGAGTTACATGATGGAATTAACATTGTAGGATCACTTGGATTGCTCTGTGGAGAAGGAAGTGGGAAAGGAGAATCGGGGTGGGATATAGCAATGGATGAATGAAGACTTCTTTAATTGATTCAGCAAGTACATATTGAGCACATACTGTGCATCAGGCCCTTTACAAAGTACTGGGATAATACAGTAAAACAGACATGTTACCTAATCTCACAGACCTGTATGATAGTGGTGTCTTCAGTTTCTATTTTAGAAAAATTAATGTACAAAGAAAGACATCAAGCAGGTAAAAACGTGACAGATTTTGGAAAATGCTATCATAAAGGACAATAATGTGTAATTTTCTCAGGAACACATAAATCTCTACACTGCTTTTTCTTTTTATGCATTGCCTCAAATCTCGGCATAGCATACTGGTTAGACAACATAGCTTCAGCATTTTCATGATGTTTAAAAGGAAATTTCTAGTGTAGCCTCAGGTACAAATATATGAAGTGTTTCATTTAATGTAATAAACCTACATCTATAACCCACACACAAAAATTATTTCATCATTGTTTACAAATTGTTTCATCATTTAACAGTCACTATATCATCCGTAATCACACATTCATTTATTCACCAAAAAAATGATTGTTAAGCACTTACAAGTTAGAAGGTCACTGCTAAGCAGACAAGAGAAACTGCTTAGCCTGGACTAGGTTTGGCCGTAGGGAGAGGTAGACCCACTTAGGTAATATTTAGGATTGTGGAGGGATTTGATATAGTCAGGATAGAGAAATGCCCAAGTCTCCTCTTATATAGCCAGATAGATAATGGTGTAGTTCACTGGAATAGGGAGGAGAAACATTCAACATTGCTAGTAATTGAGAGAAACATAGACTAAAACTGTAAGATACTGTTTTGATCTATCAGACATATCAAGACTTTTTTATCAAGATTTTTTTAAAAACGAATGCTTGATGTAGAAAGAGGCATAATGGAGCAGGTTTTCTCACACACTGCTGCAGAAGCAGTGGGCATCTTTCAATATACATTATAAACCTTAAAAATGTTCATACACTTGAGGCGTCTGGGTGGCTCAGTCAGTTAAACGTCCAACTCTTGATTTGGGCTCAGGTAGTGATCTCAGGATCCTGAGACCAAGCCCCTCCTCATGCTCTGCCCTCAGTGGGAGGTTGCTTGGACTCTCCCTCTCTCCTTCTGTCTCTCCCCCAATTTCTGCTCTCTGTCAAACAAATAAATAATCATATCCTTTGACCCAGTAATTCAGTGTTAATACAAGAAACTATTTAAGGAAAATGAGACAAAAACTTAAACACCCAACTCCAAGGAGCTAGATCTAAATTGTCACAGCTAGAGGATGAATTAGCTTTATAATCATTAAAAACTAGATAAAAACTTCAGAAGAACTTTTAGTAAAACGGAAAAATGTTCATGACATAATAAAATACAAAACAATATTGCTGGGGAGGTTATAGTCTTGTGTTTAAAAAACACACAAAAAAGCATAGATATGTATAAAAATTACTGGAAGAAACTAACCATGATGTCAGTTACAGTTGTTATTTCTAGGGGGTAGAATTATGTGTGATTTTTATTTTCTTAATACATTTTTGTGAGTATTCTTCAGTGACTGTATTGAACTATAATTAAAATGTTAAGTTCCCATAAGAAAATTTCAGAAAATAATTATCACTATGATGATTTTTCAGTCTTTCCAGTGTCAGCTTGCCACTAGCTAAGATAATTCCAGTAGTAAATGGACAGATCCATTCAGTTTGCAGTGAGACACCTAGTCATTTTGTTCAGGTAAGAAGAAAGTTTGGGGGTATTATTAAAAAAAACATTGTATCTTTGGTTGTGGTTATATTTGTCTGAAATAAAATTACATTTCTCTCCTGTGATATTTATGTTCAAAGAAACCAAAAACTTAAAATCACACATAGAGTGTGGTAGCATGCCCCATGAGAGCAATAGTGTATCATGGCAAATTTATGAGGTTGGGAATACCTTTCTCCATGTTAGGTCCAATAGCAATTAGCCTGCATTTTTAGTCCACATACATTCTGGTGGTCGATTGAACTTACTGTGTTAATGTTTTGCATTAAACTATTGGTGATAAGATTGAGCTGTGAGATCAGTAATCCAGTTCCACAAATTTTGAGGAAAACTAAAAAAATTTTGTGGAGAAGTAAAGCATTCTAGATTTAATAAATATGACTGTTAATAGTGTACCAATAATCTCATGAAAAGCGGCATAAGACAGTACTACATATAACTCCATCCTTTCTTAGAAAAGCATTTTGGAATGCATTAAGACTACTATTATTGAAATAGTAACTTTGAATCTATTATTTTTTGTTGTTTTTTTTTGTTTTTTTTTGTTTGTTTTTGTTTTTTCTGAGTCACTTGCAAACTTGGATTAGAAAACTTGGTTTAAAAGACTAAAACTTGTATTAGAAGTAAAAACTTGTTTGCGGGGTGCCTGGGTGGCTCAGTCAGTCAAGCCTCCAACTCGTGATCTCAGTTCAGGTCTTGACTGCAGGGTCATGAGTTCAAGCCCCATGTTGGGCTCCACACGAGGCGTGGGAAAAAAAAAACGTAAAACTTGTTTGCAATACACCTCAATTCCAAACTACTGCAATAGTGGACAATGAGGAGACACTAAGGCTGGAGTGTCAGGATGGCATCTTCTCAGTAACCTGTGTCTCAGACAAGTCAGATTATATTCATTGTACTATCCACTTGGGAATGTGAAAAGCACTGAGACCACAGATTGTGTTTCTTCCTTTCTGTGTATAGTTGTCCTTCGCATGTCCTTCTCATGCTTATTTTCCCTCACTGTTCTCTTCAGTCTTTTGTGTCATCTTTCTCACCCGTGACAGTTAGACGTTCAGACTGCAGAAGGATGAGTGAATGAGACTGATCTCCTTTCACTTCAAGTTTAATTTCAGCTCAATTTTTTTAATCAAAAACTTAGTTTAAATTTTAAGTATCAGTGGGAGAAAAAGGTTGTAACTTCTGGCATTTAAACCTTCACTTTACCTTTCTCCACTTTCATAAAAGTCTCTAGTTTCGTCAGTAGGCTGTTCGTCTTGGTAACGAGTGAGAAATACAACCAGGCATACGTAATATACCACCAGCTTCAATCCTTAAGTAATTCATACACTACATTAATTAAAATCTGAATAATTTATAATGAAAACAAAAGATTTCAATCTAATAAAAACACCATTGATATTGTTTAAAGTTTTTGAGTGTGACTGAATGTAGATTAATATACTACACTATTGCTTGACAAGACTCCCACCAGTTCTTTTAACCATAATTTCTATGAGTTAAAATGCCACATTGCCTTCAGAGAATTTAATCATGAATTTATTGAGATCAAGACTTGTCTACAGATCACTTGGGCTTTCTGATACTTAAGAGAGAACACAAAGGACAGTTTCACTTACCGTTTCTCTGATGTTCACCAGGGCACTCCAATTCTTCTGTGTCATGGATCTTTTCACAATCTGGTAAAGCCTACAGGCCCCTTCTCTGAAAAATAACTATAAATGCGTATTACAAAATACATGAGTTTTAAAGAAAACCAATTATAAACAGTTTTCAAGATGCTTTTTAAAATCAAATTTATGAAGAAGCAGTATTGCTTTTTTTTCACGCATTAAATAACAAGCTATAATAGCAGTTCGTGCAACTTCCACAACTATCGTACATGAAAATGTCTGATTTCTATTGAAGACAAAGTCATGGGCCATGCTAATACTATCATAGTTGGTTGGCAATTTCATAACTGAAAGATACTAGGTTTTAGTTAAAGGTTAATGTAAATAAAAATGTAATTTTTTCTTATTCTTACATTTACAAATTTCTTAAGAATCCTTGTTCTAAAGTGTCTATGTGCAGTTTATGTACGTATATGCAATAATATATGATATGCTACATGTATTCTATGTTAGATCTTTTAAAAAAGTAATATATCTCACAACCATGTTACATCAGCTTCTAGCAAAAGTACCTTTAAATTTGTATCTTTAGACCATAATTATTCATTCAACATATAACGTATCTAGCCCTTGGCACACATAAAAGTCCATTTGTAGACTGTTTTGGGTCATCTTCTCAAAGTCACACTTGAGTACTTATCATTCCATCATTCACATAAGAACCTAAATAATAAGTATCTCCTAAATTTTATTATAAGAAAAAGTATTCCCTTCTTTAAATTTAGAGTTTCTTTTTGGCCTTAGTGCCATAAAACTTAGAGCTAAATTTATTGCTCAAATTGCAGATATGGATTCAAATGATCTATATTTCTTACAAATTGTTTTACTCTTATTTTGCTAGGATCTGTTGATGATGGAGCAAGTGAAAGACTTTGCTGCTAATGTGTATGAAGCTTTTAGTACTCCTCAGCAACTGGAGAAGTGATTTCTTTTGCTTCCAGAAAAACTACAATGGAATTCATTTACTTTTAAAAATACACTGAATAAATCAACTACATATAGGGTAATGATTTGTTACCAAAATGCCTAATAAAAATATATTCTTAATCAGAGTCTTCATTTCATAATAAAATGTTTTATTTGGCATCTTAATATATTTTTTTAAAGTCAAGTCACCAACAGACTAGTTTTTGTGGGCATATCTGAGTGTACACAGTGCAAATATTTGTTACACCATGGATATTAATTCCAAACTGATTAAAAACTAGTGTAGATACTTTTTTACTATTATATGAAATGTAATATACATTGACATTAATACTGAGAAAAAAATATGTTTGAGAATTAAGTGTGAAGTTTAGAAAAAAATGTACTTCTTAACTAATCATAAAGTTCAGTGGACTGAAGTATAGATGAGGGAATCAGACTTTTCTTCAGTTACTCTTCAAAGGTATAAATTATTTATTGTAAATAAACCTGATGAAGCACTTTTCTTTTTATGGAAATCAGTGAATTTAACAACCGTGATCAGTAATTTTTTTTTTTTTTACTATTGTTAACAATTCCTAGAAAATTAGATATTGATTTAGAGGCTAAAATTGTGCTGATGCTCTTTACTCAACAGCTATTATTAGCTACATAGTTTCATTCATTTTTATGTAAATAATTTTAATAACTTTGTATTGATTTTGAGACAGTAAATATCTTATTGCAATAAAATATTTTAGTAAAATGTGGTTTTGTTGAGTTAATACCTTAGAGCCATTAATTTTATTTGTCCCATAGCATTTTTTTGCTCTTATTTTGGGAGAATATGCTAGTTTTCAAGTTTTATTTTAACTGGTAATATAATTGATGCTTTCTTTTAACTTTTTTGTTTAGAAAAAATAACATTTCCTTCTGAAAAGAAATATTTCATTGTCTCTAGTTAAATCTATATTCTATATTTATAAGGGTAATTAGGACAGAAATATATGAATCATCAGTATAGTAAATACATTTTCAGTAATATAAGAATATTTTCAGTGACATCACTTTATTTTCCTCAAGCATAACATTACAGCTGAGTAGTAGAAGGTACAAATTAATTTTGAAGTCTCTTCCAAGGAGAAGCAGGCAAGGCCCAAAGCCAACCACTAGGTATTCTAGGTCTACAGTGTTTTAAAAAAAGAAAAGAAAAAACAGATGTAAAAGTGGTAAGAAGAGCAAATGCTTCTCTTCAAAATTTGACAGAATACAGTGATACTATTTTCTAATAGGGTAACTGAAAAACTACGTTTTAGAAAATTAGTGACTGTGTATGTAATAGGGCATGCATCTCTTCCAGCAATATTAACCCAGGATTTCATTCAAGGAATATTTGAGACTGAATAGGGTGTGGCCTTATAAAAGAATCAAAACCTGGTCAGCTGAAAATTTTTACCTGGAGTCCTACATCTGTGGAGTTGTGACAGTTAGAGATGACAAGGTAAAAACCACATGTATTTGAAGCTATTTGGGCTTAGACATTCTAAATTTGTCTTCAACTAGTACAGTAAGAGCCCTCTTATTGGAGACGCTTAGTTGTTTGGTTGATCCAAAAGGTCACTTAAAGCAGGGTATCATGCACCAAAAACTCATTCTTAGGGGCGCCTGGTTTGTTCAGTTGGTTAAACGTGTGCCTTTGGCTCAGGTCAGACAGATCCCTACATCAGGCTCTCGGTTCAGTGGAGAGTCTGCTTCCCCCTCTGCCCCCTCCCTACTCATGTGCACACATTCTCTCTCTCAGAAAAATAAAATCTTTAAAAAAAAAAAAACTTAATTTTTATATATTTTAACTAAAAATTAAATATTCTTTGTCAGTTATTAATGTAGGACCCAGGTCTTTTCTTTTTAGTATAAGGTGTACTTAAAGGTGTCCTCCAATTATCTTTCTTGTACAAACTGCAAACATTGTATTACATGCTATAGTTGGGAAGCCAGGATACAAAATTTTTGTAGATTTTTGCTATATTTTCCTCCAATCTTTTAGAACTGTTTTGCCCACAATTAATTTATGAATACCTTTAAATTTTTTTTTTAAAAAAGCGAAACACTTTTTTTTTTAAGATTTTATTTTTAAATCATCTCTACCCAGCTTGGGGTTCGAACTCACAACCCCAAGATCAAGAGTCGAGTGTTCTTTTGACAGCCAGCCATACTCCCCTAAAAGCAACACATTTTTATCTAGTCTTTCCAAAGTTCAGCTTGGTTTTTACAGAGACTACAACTCTTCAAACTCACATTATCACAGTTTGTATAATCATGATAAAAAGTTCAACTGTCATAATCTGTTTGATAACTTTTAATTTCCTAGAGCCACTATAACAAATTATAACTAATTGAGTGACTTACAACAACACAAATCTATCCTCTCACCATTTCTGCTCCTTGGAAGTCCAAAATCAAGGTGTCAGCAGGACCATGCTCCCTCTGAAGGCTCTAGGGAAGACTTCAATCCTTTCTTGACTTTCCCAGCTTCTGGTGGCCCAAGTGTTCCTTGTCTTACAGCAGCAAACTTCAGTCTCTGTCTCAGTCTTCACATGGCCTTCTCTGTATGTCTGTGTATCTCTTACAAGCATGCTCTCATTTAGGGCCCACTTACGTACAGTATGATCTTACCTCAACAGTTACTTTAATTACATTTGCAAAGACATCATTTCCAGGTAAGATCACATTCTTGGCTTCCAGGTGAACATGAATTGTTGAGAAATACTATTCAACCCACTATAGAGACAAACTCAACTCAGCTTGGTAAACATACACTGATTGCAGCAAGTAGAAATCGAAAGCTGTGCCAGACAGAAGTGTATTAACAGAAAACATGTAGCTTGCCCTAGGAACCATCAGTATGCTTTTCCAAGAAGATGGAGAGCATCAGTTAACCCAGTAAATTGGTTGAATGGAGATTACTTAAAACTGCTTCTACTTTTTCTCCTTCAAACTTATATAAATGTGTTTGTTACTGTGTATATATAAAAATTTGATAAGACCATTATTTTATTTGCTTGGAAAGTAGGAAGATTTGATCTAACGAGTTTTTTCACTTACAAAACTGAAATGAACAGAAGGCAAAACATCTGTCTTGTCTTCTGTTGTCTTGATTCATATTTAGTTGAATAGCCTGACCTTTTAGAATAATTGTGTTGCTTGAATATGGTACTCATAAAAAAAGAGAGATAGAATCTTAATACAGTGGTGTCCATATTTAAAATATCAATGACTAGATTATTCAGTCTAATAATCTAGTTTGTTTTGCCTTCAACATTTCTCTAGTCATTAAAGGAAAACCAGAAGTTACTGAAATTCAAATCAGGCCATTTTGTACCTATTTAATAACTCTGGGAAAATGATTATCTGATTGGAGGATAAAACTATTGGCTTAAAATAGGTAATGAGAGATCCGATTTTTAATTATCCTTACCATAATTATTGTCCTCGTATCACAGATATTTTTTTATATAGTTGGGTTCAATGCTGAACTGTGTTTTGTCATTTAGGTCCCTCATAGCTACCAAATAACGAAACTTCCTTTTTTTGTTTTTTCTTAGTATAGTGTTTGGGATCATATAAATCTGTCCCAAGTTGGATCCCTAATAAAATATTAATTGGAATTTAGAACTGTTAATATATTTATGTATATAAATACCTTGGCATGGTTTCAAAAATTTGGTAATTTTAGGAACTTTAACAGTGAGTAATTTTTTTAAAGGTTTCAATGATAGCATGATTTTAGGAAATAAATATGTGCTTTGGTTTTATTCTCTATTTGAAGCATTTTTTGGAAACAGTGACATGTCTGCATTTGACTAATGTAACAAATGGAACCTGCAGTACTTCAAATAAAGATCTGGCCAATTAAACATCTTTTGTTGAGGACAGAGAGTTCTCTAATCATGTTTCTTTAAATTTACATCAAAATCAATATTATTTTTACTTCATTATTTTGCTTCATTCTTAGGCAAGATTTGAATAGAATTCCTAATTTTCAGCTAGGTTTTCAAATCCAATTTGCTTGAAGGCAAACATAGGAAACATATTTATTAATTTAAATTGGAGCTAAAATTAGCTCACCTACAAAAATTGGCCTATGCCTCCAATCCCATATACCCTCTACCCACCTCAAAAACCCTGAAAGAATATGTACTAAAATATTAACAGTGCCGTTCTAAACAGTGGCTTTAGCATTGCTAACATGTTTTGAGCATTTTTGTATGTTTTAAAATACCTAGATACATATATATACATATATCAGTTTTATTACCAAGATGGAAAAAAAAGAATTTTTTTAAATAAAAAGACAATTACTATGTGCATTGGAAATATGTATTAGGTCACATTTATTATATACCTATCCACCTGTATTAGTCTGTTAAGGCTGCCATAACAAAATACCAGAGACTGTGTGACTTAAACCCCAGTAATTTATTTTCTTACAATTCCAAAGGCTGAGAGCCCAATGTGTTGGCAGATTGGGTTTGTCTTAAGGCCTCTACTTGGCTTGCAGATGGTGCCTCCTCCCTGTGTCCTCACCTGGCCTTTCCTCTGTGTGTTTGCATCCACAGTGTCTCTTTCTTTGCTTATAAGGACACCAGTCATACTGGATTAGGTTCTCACTCTTATTACTTTATTTAACCTTAGCTACCCCTTCAAAGACTCCGTCTTCAAATATAGGCACATTGCAGGTTAGGGCTACAAATGAATTTGAGACACAATTCAGGAGACACAATTCAGTCAGTCATTACCACCACCAATTCCTAGCTACTGTAAAACAAAAATTCCCACTTCTTAATCACACATGGAGATAAACTCAATGTGAAGAGACTTTGATGGCTAAAGTACACTGCAGAGTTAAAACAGTTAACATGGGTAATTTAAGAAAAACATTAAGGAGTAAGAGGGGAAAAGTCTGAATTGCCTAAATAATTACTTGACTTTCCTTGACCAGTTTTACAATTGCTTTCTCTAAGTGCTACAATTATAGAAACCTGATATTTTCTAGTCTCCAGTGTACCTGCAGCATGAACCTCTCTGCAGCAAATTAGATCACATTAGTTAATGCTAGAGCCCAGCCCCATTTACAGGGCATCTGATGCAAGGTTAGATGCGGCAGTTCTACCAGTAAGCCATTTGGCTTCAAAGAAGTCCAGTTAAGTGGCTGTCCATTTCCCAGCAGTTTAATCTGAAATTAAAAGCACACACAAATATCTCCGAATGTATCTCTTTGACTCACCCACTTTATTTGGAAAGAGTAGCTGGTATTTCTTTAAAATACTGTAGACAGGAGACTTAGCTTTTAGTTTTATTCAGTGGTTCATACACTGTTTTAACCCTTGATCCAAATCTGCATACATGTATCTTACTCATGTATTCCTCTCATATATAAGTATTTGAGAGTTGGAAAAGAATAAGGTTGAATAGTGTCAGTAAGGAAAACACTGAACAGAGGACTGGGGAAAAGGACTCTGGAACCAATCTGCCCAACATAAGGCCTGTGTAGTTCTTGCACAGAATGTTTGGAGAAAGTGCCCCCCAGCCCTACCCCTTATCTAGTAACCCTCCCTCCCCGGATTTTCCAGTAACAAATCAACAGTACATAAGTCTGATCAATTATTACTGTAATTGTTTCATATCCTTAGTTTTACACTAAGTGGATTTAGATATAAGTAATTTCCTACATATCTGTAGTTGTTTCGAATAAGAAAACTTTGCCTATCATGTAGAGCAACACAAAAACAAAGCCCATGAACTTTTAAATAACAGTATTAGTGGGAGTCAAACAATACAGATCAAATAAAAAGCTGATGTCATACCCAGGCCACTAAGCTGTAATTAAACATTAAATTTGAACTCTGTCTTTCTGCCTGATCTGCCTGTAGAGATGAAATATGGAAAACACAAGGAGAAGCATATGAACAATTTACATCCAAGGCAATTGTCAGTTTCTTAAAAATAAGCTATAAAATATATAAAAATGAACTCAGTGCCAGATCTGTTGGTTACAACTGTTAGATTAACTTTCTCCACATTTTTTAAATGACCTTAAAATAGTGACACCACACATCTTACTTTTATTCAGATATTTTCTGGGATGCGATGTCTGGGGAAGAATCTGAATTCATTTTATGTATGTCTGCATGTGTATGTATTTGTGAATTCCAGAATTCATTTTGGATGCTTGCAGAACTTGAACAACCCAAAATAACTGTGAGAAAGAATATCTATTTTACATTGATATGCAGGGAGATAACATAGCCGTTTAAAGTTTAGTTTTCTGGGAAATTAAAACTTCCAAAGCTTTGGCCAAACATTACCATTGAGGAAGTTCATTTTCAAATTACAGTATCCTTCACTTCTTAACAGTTTGTGTTATGCCACGTCACTTTTATGAAGGACCTACAGTAGTTAGTACCTCTTTCTGTAACAGAGAGAAATCTAGAGAGGATTTTCACTTTTACAAAAAAAAGGCAAAAAGTGGGGCGCCTGGGTGGCTCAGTGGGTTAAAGCCTCTGCTTTCGGCTCAGGTCATGATCCCAGGGTCCTGGGATCGAGCCCCACATCGGGCTCTCTGCTCAGCAGGGAGCCTTCTTCCCCCTCTCTCTCTGCCTGCCTCTCTGCCTACTTGTGATCTCTGTCAAATAAATAAATAAAATCTTAAAAAAAAAAAAAAGGCAAAAAGTAAAACCAGCAGTCAGAGTTTGTGTTGCAGGGAGCTGGGTTAGAGGCCATGCCCAGCCCAAGCAGCAGCCCGAGCGGCAGCAAGTTCCTTCCTACACTCAGCATCTCAGCATCCAGCTGCCACAGCTTTCAACTGTGTGAGCACCTGTGCTTTGTCGCAGTTCATTTTGTGCACCTATTAGCAAGATGCGTTCTAAGGTTTCAGAAGAGCCTAAGGTTACTTTTGGGGTCTGGAACTATTCAAAAAAAACTTCCACGTAAATCAATGGTAACTGCATCTTTGCTTTACACCGTTTCAGTTTATGAAAGGCTTCATAGGCATGCTCTGCTTTCAGATAGTGGGGGAAACCTGTAGTCTTAGGAGATATAAAATAACATAAATAAAGATAATTTAAATAAAGATAATATCCCCTTACCTTTGTTACTCCCAGAGTAGCTATCGGTTGGCTAAGAAACAGATGCCTTGATGTGGGCCATTCAAGAAATATGGCATAGACCAATTTTTGTTTACGTTTGGATGTGTACCTGATTAAAAGGGGAAAAAAGTATAGTAATGGTTTTCATTATAGGTCAGGTTTGGAATTATTTTACAGAGATACTTCCATGTAGTAAATATTTACCAATGTCTTCATTAATGGAGGGAAAGAAAAATAACTCCATGGTAGAATAAAAAGCACCCAAAAGGGGTACCCAATTCCAGGCTGTGTATTAGGGGCTGGGGAGGAATCCCTACCTCACCAAGCAATTCTCAGACACAAGTTGGTTGTCCTACAATTCTTCAATTCTGACTCTACCTGGAGATAGTGTCAGATTTCCACGGGTCAAAGATTCCATCCTACAAGACTGCTTGCCCGCACCACTCTCAACTTCACACACCAATCACAAGTCCAGGTTATCACCTGGTCTTCTAACCCACAAGCTATAGATGGGAGGTTACAAGGACGTCCTCCCTGGGTTCAATTAATTTTGTATAGCAGCTCACAGAACTCACAGAAACATTTTACTTACTGCGTTATCAGTCTGTTACAACAGGATAAAACTCAGATACAGCCATAAAAAAGGGATGCATGGGGCAAGGTATGGGGACAGGGCTTGGAGCTTCCAGGAACTCTCCAGGCACACACTCTCCCAACAACCCTCAACCTCTCCAAACCCCATCCTTTTGGGTTTTTAATGGAGGCTTCTTTACATGGGTATGATTGATTAAATCACTGGCCATTGGGGACTGATTCAACCTCCAGCCTCTCTCCCCAACCTGGAGGCAGAGAATGGAACTAAAAGTTCTAACCCTGTAGTCACAAGGTTGGATCTCCAGGCAACCAGCCTCACCCTTTGGCGAAGTGGAAAAGTCACCTCAGTAACGTAACAAAAGACATCTTTATGATTCTCATCACTTAGGAAATTCCAAGAGCTTTAGGAGCTCTGTGCCAGAAACGGAGACAAGACCAAATATATACTTGTTATTGTCAATCATGATATCCTAGCCTCTCTCCCCCCACTTCCCCTAACTAAAAGGAACAGATATTTTTCTAATATTACTCTCCATCAGACAGTTCTCATGGAGCTAGAAATAGGCAAGGGAATATCAGCAAAGAAGGTAAGTTGTGAGAGTAAATGCCTTTCCACCTGCTGATTCCAATCATCATATTCCCTCACCAACAGATACGCATGTGTCAGTGCTGGGCCAAGTACTGAGGCTTGTGTTAGGGATACAAGAAAAAAAAACAAAACATACTTAGTTCTTGTTCTTACAGAACTTAGACTAGACTGAGGAAGACTGATGTTCAATAATCACAAATAATGTCAAAAGTGTGGGTTTTGACAAGCACAATGAAAGAAAAGGAAATTGAAAGATTATAACAAAGCGATCTCTTTAAATGAGACCATCAACAAGAAGCCTCCCTAAGAAAATAACATTTAATCTGAGCTTAGAGGATGAATGAGAAGATAGAAGGGTAAGAAGCGGAAGCTTTAGACAAAGGAAACAGAACTCTCATTCTTTTACTTAATTTTTCAACAAATATTTATTGAAATCTTAAAATGCTAATCACTTTTCTAGGGCTGGAGACATAGTATTGAACACAGTCCCTGTCTTCATGGAACTCACACGGTAGTGGGAAAAATTAGAATGAGGTGATGATTAAGTGCTATGGGGAAAACAAGCCAGGTGAGGACAGAGCGTGCTAGGTTGGAAAGGAGGAGTGTAGATGTTATTTTGAATCTAATACTCAAGCAAGACCTCTTTGAGGAGGTGGCATTGAGGAGACCTGAAGAATGTGAGGGAGAGACGTTGAGTATCTAGAGGAAGAGAGAACAGCAAGCACAGAAGTCCCCATGCAAGAGTGTGCTTGGCCTGCTGACACGGCAGCAAGGAGGGCAGAAGGAGAAATGAGGGATGGCAGGATGGCAGACAAGATCAGAGACAGCAAGGAACCAGTTTTGTTTTGTTTTGTTTTTTTTTAAGAATTTATTTGAGCGAGAGAGAGAGAGCAAGAGAGAGCGTGTATGCACATGAGTTGGGGTAGGGCAGAGGGAGGAGGAGAGGCAAACTCCCCACTGAGCAAGAAGACCTACTCAGGGCTTGATCCCAATACCCTGAGATCATGACCTGAGCCAAAGGCAGATATTTAACTGACTGAGCCACCCCGGCGCCCCAAGGAACCAGTTTTTATAGGACCTTGTAACTTCTATTAGACCTGGCTCATTCTCTAAGCCTAGATGCCACTGGAGGAATTTGAGCATAGGAATTTGGCTTTATTATTTAAAAGGTTTTATAGCGGAAAGATTAAGTGGGTAAGGACAGAAACAGATCACTCAGAAAGCTACTGAAATAACCAGGGGAGGGATAACAGAGACTAAAAAGAAGAGAGTTACCACAAGAGAGGATGAGAAGCGGTCAGATTCGAGATACACCTCAAAGACAAAGATGATGACATTTGCTGATGGGTTGGCTGTGAGATGTAAAAGGAGAGTTAAGGACTCCAAGATTTTGGCCTCACAACCACCTGAAAGGATGAAGCTGCCATTAACTGAGATTGGGAAGACTGCATGGAGCTGGTTTAGAGCAAAATTTAAAAATTAGGAGGACCTCAGTTTTGGACAGTACCAGGTTTAAGCTGCTTACGCTTCCAGGAGGAGCGGTTGACTAGGAAGTTGATTATGAGTCTGGAGTTCAAGAAAAGAGGTCAGCACAGTAGAGGTCCTCAGTGTGGCATCTGAATCTGTGAAAACAGATGTGATCATCTGGGGAATAAAAATAAATAGGAAGAATGGAAGTCCAAGGCCTAAGCCTCAGGGCACTTCAAGGTTTAGTGCTTGGCAACTGGAAGTGGAACCAGCAAAGGACACTTAAGAAGGAGCAGCGAACAAGAAGAAACGGTAATCAGGACGCCTGGGCAGCTCAGTCAGTTAAGTCTGCCTTCTGCTCAGGTCAAGATCTTAGCATCTCCCTTTCCCTCTGCTATTGTCCCCGCTTGTACTCTCTCTCTCTCTCTCTTAAATAAAATAAATAAAATATTTTTTTAAAAAGTGGGGGGGAGGAGAAAAAGAAGAGAGGGCAATCAACAGAGTCAGATGCTGCCATAAACTCAGAAAACAGGGACCATGAAATGACACTGGATTTGGCGAAGGGCAGCGTATCAAGGGCCTTTGTAACAATGATTTTATGAAGTCTGGGGGTGGAAGTCTGACCAGAGTGGGTACATGAGATAACTGGTGCAAGAAACTGGAATTGACAAGTAATAATAACAAGAAATAGTAATAAAATATTTTAACATGTTTTACTATACAAGAAAGGAGAGAAATGGGGAGGTGCCCGGAAATCTAAGAGTTAAAAGAAGTTTTTTGTTTGTTTTAAGAGGTAAGAAGTAACACATTTGCATGTGGACAGGAAAGGATCTAATAAAGAGGGAAAATTGAAGATGAGGAGCAAAAGGAGAGAACTGCTAGTATGATATCTTTGAGTATAATTAGGGTTGGGATCTGGGACACCAAGAAATACGTGTGAGTGTGTGTGTCTGTCTATGTCTGTGTATTTCAGTCACATGTGGCTACCCAAGGGCAGGTATGAAATAAGAGCTAAATTTAACCAAAGTTGAGGTTTTAATCAAAGTCAAGTGAGTATGACAGAGAGAAAAAGTGTGTATGCAATGGAGTGACAAGCCACAGAATCTGACCAGAATCAGGAAGAGGGCTGAGGGACAGAGAAAAAGTGAGCAAGTCACAGATGGTATCCTTGATGGATTATAGATCCCTCCAGAAGCCCAAGTGCTGTGTGGAGTGAGCTGAGATATAAAAGGTGGTAGGACACCGCAGAATGCTTCAAGCTGAGAGTGTGGAAGAGGTTTGGTTATTGGCAATGTAGGACCTAAGGCATGACCCGAAAGGGGGTGGGGGTAGCAAAGGGAGAGTGGAGAAGGTCCCTAGAGGAGAGAGTCCAGGAACTGAGGGACCAGCAAATTAAAAGAAATGTGAATATAGGTATTCAAATCACTACGACTGATGTTAAAGTAGTTCTGGGGACAGTGACAGGGCTGAAATCTTGAAGGATATTAAGGGGGTCTACAGATGACTACAGCAAGGAGAGGCAGCACACACGGTATAGGAAACACCTTCTACTGTGGGGTTGGCAGTGGTTGGAGGGGAAGGAGGGCCACGTGGGGCTGGTGAAGTTGGTAGGAGCCAAACAAGGGGTTTCACAAGCCTTGTTAAATATTTTGGCTTTTATTTTTATTTATTGAAATAAAACTTAATGGAATATTGGTTAATACTTGCGAAATCATGATCAGACCCCCTTGTAGTCAAATATATTCCCAGACACAAATTTCAATACCAGATTTAAACTAGTCTCTGTAAAATGAAGGACTGCTAGTGAGGTTCTCACTATGGCTTCTCCCAGACATTTTAAAGTTCTACAGTTAGTTGCTTCTATCTAGATTGTTCTACATTATTTTCTTCAGTGAGCTGACAATTAGTTTTAAGTCATAAGTCAAGTAAGATCAAAGAAGAACATTTAGTCTAATCTTTTGATTTATACTTGACCTGGCTATATTCACCTGGTGCAAACAAAAGGTAAAATTTTAGAGCTTCACTGATATGACTCTTATTTATATATTTTAAGACCCCACATCAGAAACCATCGTATTTGTAAAGTGTGGTTCAGATACTCATTGGCATATGAACCTTAGACATAAGCTCTGACATAAGCCTGAAGCAAGGCTTTTAAAGAAGATTCTAGTTAAAAGAAAAATTAGCAAGTTAAAATAATGTTAAGGAAACTTCAGGTTTAGAGTTATTAGAATAACATGAACAAGTTTTAAGGTTTTTGTGGTTTTTTTCAATTAAAATAATGCTATTATTTGGGCTAATTTTAAATATATTTTCTACCCTTCGGCACCTCATTCTTGCTAATTTCATAAGATGGAGCATCTATGAAAATTAGAATTAAATGACTAAATATAAGTCTTCCTTTTGGATTAACCACTCAACATCTATCATTTTTCTGAATGGCTTATGATTTTTATAAGAACTATTTTTCACTAAAATTTGCCCACTATTATGAAGTTTCTAGAGATGATTTAAGCTCACTTTGATAAACAAGTATTCAAATACATGCTGACTTCTTCTAAAGTCTGGAAAGTGCTTTGAATGAATAGGCATGCATCCAATTTCCTTTTTTATCCTACTTTTCTCTTCACATCGCTGAGAAATTTTAGATGCCTTCCTCCATCAAACAGTACTTGGTAACAAGAAGAACTTACCACACATTTGGGGTGACATCATCACTCTGGGACCTCCAAGGGTGGGTTTCATAAATGGCTTCTCCATTGACTTTTAGCCAGGTCCCCATCTGCCTCAATCGCTCCTCAAAAATTACAGAAATGGTGCCATCATGTGTGGGTCCAATATTCATCAAAAGATTTCCTCCACATGAAACTGTTTCTACAAGTTCCTAAAAAGTTAAGAACAAATAAAGTTCTTAGGTAGAAGAAATGATTCCATTGTGAATGTGTTAATGATAAGTTGTATTTGTGTGCTTCCACCCATATGTAATCACCATCCAGAAGAACAAACACAGAAAATACAAACTATAAAAATGTAATTCTCACATACCCACACAATTGAGAATATTACCTTAATGGTCACCAGATATTTTAACTGTACCTTCACTAGTTCTTCGATTGTAAGATAGTCATTAATTCCAGCATCTCTCCTGTAGCCCCAGGAAAACTTGTCTATTGTCATGCAATTTTCCCATTTATGAGGCAAAAGATGTCCTGGGTTGTACCGATCACTGCAGGTATAATAGCCACCATGCTTACAGATGGTACCATATCCCCAACGGTCATTGGTCACAACTGTGTCCCGAACTGGGCTGAAATATAATTGTTTAAATAAAACATAAAATATTTTACATAAAAGGAAATGTCACTGGAAAGAGGTCTAACTGAAATCCACTTCTGAAAGATCATCATAGCATAATATAATGCAAAGCCCATGGTTTGGAAGTCAAATAGACATGGGTTGGTTGCAATCCTGGCTCTGTCACTTTCTAAGCTCCCTACCCCAGTGTAAGGGACGTAACTCCTCTGAGGAATCAATTTCCTCAACTGCTATTAGAACAGAAATAATTTATGTAAAATACCTAGCCCAGTAATCAACACATAGAGCACTTATAAGACTATCATACTATTATTTGAAGCTCCTTGTCCCACATATTATGAATGATAATCAGATTTGAATTTACACTCAAAATATTCTTCTCACCTATGACTGAATAATCTCATACATACATTCTAGTCTTCCTCCTACAGTTGTGTCTAAGGTTGAAAAATCTCCAGCAAGTGGACTGCTGCCATCATGGAATCTACAATGGCACGAAATAAACCCCACAACCTTATCATCAGAGCAGGTGTGAAGCTCCTGCCCCTCCCCGCTTAGAAGAGACAGTTTGCTTTCCAAACTGAAGTGGATCGTTCCCAGTCTTTCCCCCTGGAAGAAGTCCCTGGAGAAACTGCTGCTTTAAGTAGAAAGAGCTCTCCAGAATGTTCTTATGCACACCCCAAGTGTGTCCAGGGAACACACACAGAACATTCCCGGACTTCAGAACACAATACCAAGGGATGCCTGGGTGGCTCAGTTGTTAAGGGCCTGCCTTTGACTCAGGTCATGATCCCAGGGTCTTGGGATCAAGTCCCACATCAGGCTCCTTGCTCATCGGGAAGCCTACTTCTCCTTATGCCTGGCACTCCCCCTGCTTGTGCTCTCTCTGACAAATAAATAAATAAAATCTTAAAAAAAAAAAAAAAGAACACAATACTGAGTATTTTCTAGTTACAATATAAATTCGGTCCACATGGTTTAAGTCTCATAGAGGAGCTTGGTCAGAATTCTCTGTTCTAACGTGGCAGTCTGGAACATGCTAGAAAGCAACATGTAAAGAACAGGAAGTGGCGAGAATGCTGATGAAGTAAAGGAGGAGGCAGACGAGGGTGACAGCGACTGAGCAGCAAAGATTATCAAAGGGTCAAAAGATGAAAAGAAGGAATCAGAGGAATTCAAAAGCACATAATCACAAAGAGTGATAAACTGTTGTCTCAGAATAGGAGATGAGAAGGGAGACCCACAAAATTAATGTCTTCAAAGTTCTTGATTCTGTGATGCTATCTTTTCTCAGTGATTCTAAATTATTCGGGATTTTAGTGATTTCAAAATCAGACTATTGAGTTATAACTCTTGCTCATTGATTACTCTGAGTAAAAACTGATATATCTACTAGGCATTATTGACAACGATTTCCACCTACCCCACACCATAGATGGGCCTGACAGGGAAAACTTCACAAAGCAAATGCTATACACGAATGAGGAACACGGAGGGTCATGACAGCAATCTAAGCGCACCCACACCTTCTGTTATACAGCCAGGCCAGGAAACCTGTGCTGTTCCAGTAGTGGTCAGGAGCATCGCCATCACCATCCGACCACAGGATCTCTGGCTGGTACTTGTTCACTAACTCATAGAGTTCCGGCAGCGTCTTAGAAACTGGAAACTGCTGCTGTTGGAATGATCTGGACTTATCCTCAAGGAAGAGTGGATGAAACCACTCAAAAAGGGAATAGTACAGTCCAAAACGCAGGTCAGTCCTCTTCCTAATGGCCACCTCGAGTTCCTTGACGAGGTCCCTCTTCGGCCCCTCATCTACAGCATTCCAGTTCCAGGAGTACTGGGAGCCCCACAAGGTAAAGCCTGCACAATGATATTGAGTCTTTGTAAGAACATGAATTTGTTCTAGCAAATTTCTACCTATACAATGCCAAAACAAACTAGATAGTACGTGGGACATATAAAAATGTCTACAACAACAGTTTTATGGCGTGTTTTTTTCCATAGCACGTATTCTACTTTTATATGAATAACAAATGAGAATTTCAACAAGGTGGGACGAAGAGGTTTTTTTAGTGACTTTCTGGGTGCCCCCTTAAGGTTTGTGGAGTCTGACCTAACTCTAAGAAGAACAGAGTTAGAAGAACTCTAACTCTAAGAATATTTTCCTTCTTAGAATAGAAGCTCCTTGAGGGACAGCATCGTGCCTACAGCCTTCTGTTAGCACAAGATCTAGCACAAAATCAACAACACAAACAGAGCAGAGCTAAGAGGGGGACCTACTCCACATCTACCGTCCTTAACAATGACGCTACTACTTATAATGGAGATCCTGAAACGCACCCCTGCAAGATTCTTACTTGTCTCCTAAACCAAAGATTAAAGTATGTTCCCTGGTTGGGGATGACTTTAGGTAGTGTGAGTCTTAGAACACAGGCGATCCATATCTAATAGTACATCCTGAGCTTCATTGAGCTTCATCGTTCAACCTTTATCACCAGAAGGGGAAAAGATATGCTTCCCCAGTAGCTCCGTACTTTGAAATATTCCCACCATTTGTAATCTCATCCTTCTCTAAAGTCATAAACTCAGATGGTGCTCTTTAAAATAACTGCAATTATCTACCAATTAAATGGTAAGAAAAACAATGTCTGCCATTAAATAAGCACTTTGAAATAACTCATATTTTAAAAGGAATTTGCATTTAGATTGTTCTATATAAAAATAATAGAAATGCTATATAACGTGAAATAATATAAAAGCCTCAAAAATTTTAGTGCCTAGGAATGTTGCTAGGAATGCATTGTTACTATCCCACTGAAATCTAAAGAATCTTTGAGAATAGACATAATAAGGCACTCTGTTATTTACTCTCATGAATTAGGACAAGTCTAAGATGGACACAGTCTTCGGATTCCTTTTCAGGAAGAGTTTAAAACATCTCGCTCTTATTCCAAAGGAGTTTGTGGTAAGCTTCAAAGCAATGTCTTGATATTTAAAGTCCTATGCAAAATGTTTCAAGTTGGCAGTATCTGGCTGGCTCAGTCAGTAGATCGCACAACTTTTGATCTCAAGATTGTGGGTTTGAGCCCCGTGTTGGGTTGTAGAGATTACTTAAAAATGAGAAAAAATATTTTTTTAAAAAAATGTTTTGAGTTGACAGGCTCTGTTGCCAGATAGTACCAAAACCACATGGGTCTTCATCACTACCATAAAAGCTCACGGAGAGATCTTCCTGCCTACCAAGCTCAGTGGGTTTTTTTCCATAAAGCCATGAAAACATGAGTCCTAGAAAGTTTACAGATGTGGGCTTCATTATCTTTCCTCATGGTATGATTAAAAGTTATTTTGTTTTGCTTTTAAATAAGCTCACTATGGAATACTTTGTGCCATGCAGCTTAAAGAGTTCCTAGACATCAGGAAACCAACATGTTCAGGCAAATACATTTTCTAAATATCTACCTCAGTAGGAGAACCTCTACAGGAGAAAGTCATTAAGCCACTAGAATGTAGCCAAAGGGAAAAGTATTCTAAGATAATTACAGATTTTTTGTTTTGGTTCTTTCCTCCTATTCCCCTTCCTACCTCTGCAGAAAGCACTGAGGCAAAATTTCTTATACCAGGCAAAGATGGTCACGCAAAGGAGACTGTCAAATGAATTAAAATGTGGTTGGGATAGTAACAATTTGTTGACATTCCCTTGATCTTCTGGATACTAGAGCAGTAATGGGTAGAAACTATCCTATTAATGTAGGACCCCTGTGATGGATAATTTTATCTGTCAACTTGACTGGGCCACAGGCTCAGGTATTTGATTAAATATTTTCTGGGTGTATCCATAGGGGTGTTTCTGCATGAGATTAAGGTTTAAATAGGTAGACTGAGTAGCAGATAGCTCTTCCCAGTGTGGGTGTGCCTCATCCAATCTGTTAAAGACCTGAACAGAATAAAAGGCTGAATAAGAACTCTCTCTGCCTGTCTGAGCTCACACTTTCTGCCTTTGGACTCAGACTTGGACTAGAACCTAAACCATCATCCACACTCCTGGTTCTCAGGCCACTGGCCTCAGACTGGAACTGTACTGCCAACTTTCCTGGTCTGGACTTCTCAGCTCCATAACTGCATGGCCCAATGTTTTATAATAATAAATCTCTTTATATGAACATATTTCCACTTGGTTTTGCTTCTCTGGAGAAGCTTCACTGATACAACCACTGTGTTTCCTTGTAGATATTCTTCCGCCACCTCTGACTTTTATGGGCACCATTGCAGTCCCATCATCTTTGTCCCTCTGGATGATCTGTGTCACTTTCATCACTGGCAAACCATCCACCATTTGGCCACCTAAGAGTTGGCCGAAAGTGCAGCAAGGTATGTGGGTAATGACACAAAACTATAGCAGTATAATCCCCATGGTGAGGGAGCCTTCCCAGAATGCATTACAGAGGGGCAATAAAAGCAGAGAGGGCAGGGCACCTGGTGGCTCAGTCAGTTAAGCATCAGCCCTTGGTTTCAGCTCAGGTCATGATCTCAGGGCTAGGCACAGAGTCTGCTTCAGGGTCTCTGTCTCTGCCCTTCCCCCCACTTGAGCTTGCTTTCTCTCTCTCTCTCCAATAGGTGAATAAATAAAATCAAGAAAGAAAGAAAGAAAGAAAGGCAATTCTAATTATAAACTTGGAGCTGCAACCTACATCTCACTTCAAATAGCTTTAAATGAAATCTTGGAAATATTGTTAAATAGGCACATAACAAAATGTGATTATTTTTCTTTTTTGTTTGTTTGGGGGTTTTTTTGTTTGTTTTTATGTGGTGGTGGGGGGGTGTCTGATCGTTCTACAATCCTAATACCTCTCAATTGGATGCAATACGTGGTCCCTTAAATTACAGGCAAAAGTCAGTAACCACTAACTGCTGCTCCTAAGAGAAAACTAATTTCATGTGCTTTAGTTTCTTCTTCTGAAAGAACTACTTTACATTTCATAACTACTGTCAGTGTTTGCAAATGTTGCATTTATTTACCTTCATGATGTTTGGAAGTTAAGACAATGTATTTGGCACCAGAAGCCTGAAAAATATCTGCCCAGTGGCTTGCATTAAAAAACTTTGCTGTAAATAGTGGTCCAAAATCTTCATATTTGAAATTAGGAGGGTAATTATTTTTCATAAATTCCATGTACATCGGTATCTTTTTCTCTTGCCAATACCACCTAAAGGAAGGAAGAGAAACAACACATAAATGACGTACACATAAACATTTGAAATAATTGCCCCAGCTCCCCTTACTAATTCCCCCTTACTCAAATATTGCCCAGATTCTTTCTCACTTCCCCAATAGTTTGACTTTGCCTTAAAGAAAGCTTACTGTAAACTTTCCTTGCTTTCCATCTAACCCTCTGAATATTCTAGACAACCCAGCCACCTGTTTGCTCTTAATTCTTCATTTTCAAATCACAAAATGTAGTATGTATCTTTATGTAGTCTTTTGCAACATAAGTGACAGTCTTCAAAAGGGAGATCACATGCCTGAAACAGCATGCATCTTTTATATTCACTAGCAAAGAACAAGCAGGGGAGTTGGCAACAGTAATATTAAAATGATACTGTTATTTTAACATATTGACTCAGCCTTTAAGAATTACTTGCTATGCATTCATTCTGAGCAATTCTTGCTGCCTTTGGTTGTGTGAAGCAATGCCTGGCTGGCTGCTATCATGTCACCATGAAGGACAAGTCAACAGGCTGAGGATGACAGAAATAAGTAAGTTCTTTGATTTCATCAATGAGACAACTACCTCTACATTTCTTGTGTTGAGTAACAAACCCTTATTATTATATCATTTACTTAGGTTTTCTGTACGTATCCTAACTGATCCATGATGCATTTCTGCCTTTTAAACTGAACTACAGGTACACCTGGGTGGCTCAGTCAAAGGATTTCTGCCTTCGGCTCAGGTCATGACCCCAGGGTCCACAGACTGAGTCCTGCATCAGGCTTCCTGCTCAGCCAGGGAGTCTACTTCTCCCTCTGCCTGCCACTCCCCCTGCTTGTGCACAGGCTCTCTCGCGCTCTCTCTGGCAAATAAATAAAATAAAATCTTTAAAAATAAACAAACAAACAAACAAAAACACTGAACTACAAAAGACAAACTGGGACAGTCAGAAGGTTGAACAAGAATGAGGGATTTTGGGCGCCTGGGTGGCTCAGTGGGTTAAAGCCTCTGCCTTCGGCTCAGGTCATGATCCCAGGGTCCTGGGATCGAGCCCCGCATAGGGCTCTCTGCTCGGCGGGGAGCCTGCTTCCTCCTCTCTCTCTGCCTGCCTCTCTGCCTATTTGTGATCTCTGTCTGTCAAATAAATAAATAAAATCTTTAAAAAAAAAGAATGAGGGATTTCTTTTTCCCCAGTACAATTTAATTTGAACCTTCATTCTCTACTATAGTTTAGAGTTACTTTTCAAATCCCATACTAATAGAGATGAAAAGAGGCACTTACTATAAAGAATCCATCGTTTATATCTGGGTTTGAATTGCTATTAAGGAGAGTCAAATATACTCATCTCTACTGTTGACTGTTTGCCTGTCCTGAGTGAAACTGGCATGGGACCAGAGGTTTAGAGGAGACAGAGGGAGACCACAGATAATTAAAGAATCTTCTACAGGGCTGGGATGCCTGGCTGACTCAGTCCATTGTGTGTCTAGCTCTTGATTTTGGCTTGGATCATGATCTCAGCCCAGTGTAGGGTTCCATACTCAGTGCAGAGTCCCCTTCCCTCTGCTCCTCCCCCCACTTGCACTCTCTCTCTCAAAAAAATACATAAATAAAATCTTTTTAGAAAAATCTTCTACAGGGTTAATGCACTTATTATTAGAAATATATTCTAGTTAGTTTCACATGAGCAGTATCTTTATTCTTCTAGGTTAAAACAAACAACCTTGTGTTTATTTGTAGAAAATGAAAAATTAACCATTGCAAACAATAATAGGACTCAAAACTAGGTATTTTTGGCACAGCACTAGTCTCAATTAACATCAAATCCTCTTCTAGCACCAAATGTATATTTATCTAATATTCCTAGTTGAACAAAATGATAACATATAATTTATTACATCTTAACATGAGGATAAGAAAATCTGTTTATGTACCTGCTAATCTGAAACATTTTAAAAATAAACTCAAAATGCCTTACAGCACAAAACTTGCAAACAAAGATTTATAACATCCTGAAGTAACTATGTCTAGTAATAGACAGTATGGGGGAAAAAAGGCCCTTGTTTTACAAGTTGATTTGAAAAAGAATGTATGGATTGTGCCCCATACCCTACACATTCTTTTACATCAGTTGGACTAATTTAATTAAAAAAGGTTATTGCTTGCAGAAAGTCAATGTCTTTGTAGAAAGTGGTATAATGTAATAATGTAATGTTAATATAATATATATAGTTTATACTCTATTATATCTATTCTATATTGTATATAGTTTGATACATATTATTATATAGTATAAAATAGAGTTAAATACTCCTTTATTTTCTTATTTTAAACAGGAATACATTATACATGTGTGCACATTATATATGCATACATTTGGTAACTTTTCTGTCTTGAAGAACTTAATATCTCGTGTATTTAATCAGGAAAGGTAGATAAAACAGTTCAAAGTTGTAAGAGATTACATGGGCATGTTGGCATAGATTTCAGCAAAGTTTAAAGAGCAATTTTTTGTGCAGCTTTCCATATAACATTAGGGAGTCTTTTTAGGATAATATTCTAGAAGCTTTTGTTGTTGTTGTTTTGTTTGTTTGTTGTATTTTGTCGTTGTTGCTCCCCATGCAGCGCAGAGCTCAACAGGGGCTTGAACTCAGCACTCGAGATCAAGACCCCTGCTGAGATCAAGAGCCAGGCTTAACCAACTGGGCCACCCAGGCTCCCCTCTACAAACTTTTTAATTCCCAGAGCCACACATGGTAATATTTTAACACTAAAGAGCCAGTGCATGCCCAAATGAACAGAAGCATCACAGACTCCTAAGTTATGTCTTAACCATACTTTATGGCTGAACAGAGATGGACACCAGCTTAGGCCCAAGCCTCGCGGTTCCTGGTCCGACCCCCACACAACTGGAGTCACTTCTGCCGTCTTAGTCCCTGGGCGGTTCCAGGGCGGGAGCTCCGGCGTGACACGAGCAACCAGCAGGACGCTGAGAAGCAAGGCGAGGCTGCCCGAAGCGCCCAACGACGCTGCAGCCCCGCGGAGGAGAAACGCACTGCTCTTCCCGGCACTTACGCAGGGACTTAGGCACCGAACACCCGGAAGTGCCGACCGCCGCCCAGACCGCGGGAGGCAAAGCCCTGGGGGCGCCACAAACCAGCCCCAACCGGGGGCTGGGCGGGGGCGCAGGCCGGGGGAGGGGGGCGCGCTCACCAGAACCATTCGCTCCCGAAACTGGGCACGGAGAACACCCCCCAGTGGATGAAGATGCCGAACTTGGCCCGGTCGAACCAGACCGGCAGCGAACGGGCGTCCAGGGACTCCCAGGTGGGGTCGAAGCGCGGCGCGCGCGGAGCGGCGCCGGGCGCGAGCGACGGCGACAGCAGCAGCAGCAGCAGCAGCAGCAGCAGCGGGAGCGCCCGCGGGAGCCCCGGGAGCGCCTGGGGCCGCATGTCGGCGCCGCCTCCCAGCGCGAGCCCTTCCGCGTCTCCAGCTAAGTAGGCTCGGCGCTGTCACCTGACCGCGCGGTCAGGACAAAGGAGCCTTCCCTGCTGGCGCGGGAGCGGCTGCTGTCCCAGGCCGAGGACCCCAGGGGCGCGGCAGCGTTGGAGGGCAGCGTCAGCGAGGCCGGTAGTTGCCCCCGGAGGCCTGAGGCTGCTGACTTATCTAAAGCTCCCGGTCTGACCGCCTCGTGGGGAAGAAAGAGTCAAGTTCAGGGGCCCGAGGGAGTGCGTATTTGCTGGAGCAGAACGACCCTTAGAAACTGCCGGGGAGCGCGACGTTGGCCGACCGGTCCGGTTGGAACCTGGGACCCGCAGGCCAAGGCAGGAACCTCGAGCAGGTCATCCAGTCCTTGCAGGTCCCACGCACGCAAACAGCCCAGGTCATTCTCGGCCTCTCTATCCACCCCCGCCGCCCCCACCAAGCTTCTGGGTGTGTGAGAACCGTGGCAGTCAACAGGGAGTCTGGGTCAGGTGAAATCCCAGCAGTTCCCATCTCAGGTTGGGGGCCCCAATGTGCATTTCTAACGGAGTCCTGGATGGTGCTGATGGTGCTGGGGTCGGTTACCAAACTTTGAGAATCACTGCATTAGAAAATGTGGTGAACTAAGGTGAGACCAGTGGCGTGAGTGTTTAAGAAATCTGCAGGCAGGGGGGAAGCAGCCAGAAACATGGAAGGATTCATCAAGGGACCCCATCAGAAGCTCCGCTCTCCCCTTCCTAAAGGCTTTTAGAGTAAAACCAGAATCCCTTCTGCTCACATCACCTCCTCCCAACTTTCTGTCACTATCTTCCCTGCCAGATGTTTTACTACCCACTAATTGTTCCAATTAACATCTTGTTCCAACCACGAATATAGGATCCCACTGATCGTTTTGTAGTTAGGAGGACAACGATCTTTTTTCCCATTAGGCGGTGAGCTTGCTGAGGACTGGGATGGCAACCATTTCTGTAGACCCTGAATTTAAAGCAGAATCCGGTACTGAGGAGCACTTAAAGCATATTTGTTGAAGTCCTTCAATGAACTGGGGTTCTCATGATTGAGCTGTATGAAGGAACAAAGAAAGAAAGGACCCTAACTGTCCCATCTCTGCAAAGACATGGGAGCAGCACCCCAGGAAAAATGGCAGTTACCTCTTGATGCACTGTGAATGGCTCCCCAGGATCGCAGGTCCACCGTAAGGGACCTGGTCCTCCCTGGTGAGGTTCTCCTGGAAGAGAGAAATCGGCGAATCTGCTGAGTATACATTAATGGCAGTAGCTTCAGTTCGTGATAAAGTCGGGTGATCATTTCTATTATTCTCGGAGCAGAGGATAGGCTTCCCCAAGATGGGCCACTTTGGCACGAAGATTATTCTGAGCTGAAGGCAATAGAGACCCCAAGGGCTCAAGAGAAACTTTTGCCCCCTCCAAACTATATCACTGGAGGTCTTTCCCAGAGTAAGTGTTATTAGCTGAGATCAGTTTTATCGGAGTGACCCATCTGGATGGCAGGGCAAACATCTAATGACCAAACTTCTGCTCTTCTTCTTGCCCTGCGAACGGCATTTCTTTCCTCCAAAGTTCCATACCACTGCTCCTTCCTCCTTAGTTCAGAATGACACACAGGCCTCATTTTGCCTGACCGTCTTTGGAATTTCCACGTCTCTGTGGATTCTCCATCTGTACGCTATCAACTTCCGTTTCCTCCTGTTAGTCTGTCTCATGTCAATTTGATTCTTCATCCAGCTAGACAGACCTTGAGGGGACAGGAATTCCTGCTTCCTGACAGTTGGCCTCGTCAGCAAGACACTAAGTCACAGGACGTAGCTCACCCCAGTACTGCTCTAGTTGAGAGGTCCTGGGATGTGGGACATAGCACCAGTGGAAGGTAAGATTTCTTACCATGTCAGCCTCCCAGAATCTCTATCTGCGAGTCCAGTGGAGCAAGAGTGACATGAGTCCTTTTTCTCTTTGTAAATTTAAATCCACAGGAGAAAATATTTGTGGCACCAGTTCCTTGGGCCTGACAGCTCTTTGGCTGAATGTGTTAGAGTACTCTTCAGTTACTGGTCCACCTCCTCCCAGAAATGGCCTTTGTCTTCCTTTGTGTCTTTCATGTTGCTTGTCATCCATTGCTAAGGGACATCTTGGAAGTTAAAGCTGCAAAATTCAAAATTCATGGGCACAGGCTGAACACTTAAAAGCTATCAGAGTGGTGGCCTCCTCAAGAGGACTCCTGTGGTAGGATAAGTTTGTCACAGAATGGGTTAGATTCACACTAGGTCACCTGCCAGCTTCAAGAAAACTTCCATGCAGTGAGGTACTGTTGTATAGCAACACGCCTTCCCCAACCATGGCAAATAACTCGTAGGTATTAGTTCGATTCCAAGAGACCCAAGGCTTAGATAAAACTGTTATATTTTTCTCTAAGTCTCTTTCTGTGTCCTGAGAGCTTGGCTTTGTGCAAGAAATTTCTCTTTGGTCTCCACGACCTGGGTGGAGATGCCCTTACTCGGGAGTACTTACTGGGGTACTCCTTGGTGGCCAGTCAAATAGACTTGGGGATCCAAGTATGGATCCGGCAGTGCCAGTTCTCAGGAATGTGTGTCATGAGAGGTTTTAGCCTACGGGAACTTTTGTTGTCTCAGCCTGTGTTGCTTGGTAGTGCTGGAACATCTCATTCCAGAAGCATTTGTACAGTGTCACAAATGAGTGGGCCTGTGACTGGAGGCATCTCATATTTTCATGGGAGACCAGAGACACCATTTTCACTACACCATCCTTACTGTCTGTGCAAAAAGACCTTTGCTTTCATTACTCTCAGGATTAAACTTTTGGATTATGAGGACTACATCATCTGTGCCTTTCTGGACACTCCTTGTGTCTTTGATTAAGCAATTAGAAGGCTTATTGATTTGAGTCACTATTAATAGATCCTATCTGTCGATGGCCAGATGATGGATCATTTAAATTGGCTGTATTTAAGTAGATAGATAGATGGATGGATGTATAGATAGATAGATAGATAGATAGATAGATAGATAGAGAGAGAGAGGGGGGGGGGGGGGTGTGTGCCGGGGGGGGGGAGGGGGGGGGGGGTAGAGGGAGAGAGAGAATCTTAAGCAGTCTCCATTCCAAACATGGAGATCAACACAGGCCCTGAGATCATGACCTGAGCCAAAATTAAGAGTCAGATACCTAACCCACTGAACCATCCTGGTGCCCCTATATATATATATATTTTTTATAAAGAACTCTCAATTGTCTTAGAACAGCTAGCCTTAGGGACTCCCTTGACAAGATAAAAGTATAGAAATTAGACTTAAGACTCAAAAATGAATGTCCACATCCAATGTTGATTCCTCTTCTTAAAATCCAGCTTGGGGCATCTGGGTGGCTCAGCTGGCTAACATCTGACTTCAGCTCAGGTCATGATCTCAGCCCTGCATCAGGCTCCCTACTCAGTGGGGAGGCTGCTTGTCCCTCTATTCCTGCTCCCCCACCACTTACGCTCTGTCTCTCTCAAATAAATAAATAACATAAATTTTAAAAAAAAGAAATCCAGACTCACATGCCTGTGTTAACTTCCCTTTCCTACAAGATTTACAGAGATTACTCTGGCCTATCTCTAGGCTCTAAGTATATAGGTTGCTCATGTAAATGCTGAAAGCCAGAAAATAAATTTAACCAAAGCATCCAAGATCGGTAATAAGGTTTGGTTTGCCCCTATCTTTGAGCTCTGTAATTGGCTTCTACCTGTTTTAGAAGTCCCTATACAATGTTCCTTGCAGGATTGTCCTAGACCTCCCCATCACCACTACAACAAAATTTATGTCCCCTGGACAGCAGCAGATCTTTTAAATTATACAGCCATTTTACCCCTATTACCCTACCAAATTTAGAGAATAATTAGAAAGATTATTTGACTATATTTACAACCTTCCCTTTCCTGAGGAAATAGATGACCACAATTTCTCCTAGGCCCTCCTAGAAATGGTGTGCAAAAGGCCAATATTCAGGGGCTAATAGAAGCCAAGTTTAAATTGTGTACCCAGAAAAAAAGGCTTTTGTTAAAAATGCTTTAAACAGATTTTACAAAGGCATAAATCCTTCAGTTCCCATTTTAGTTAAAATTCTCCCTGATATAAAGGAGCAAATTTAGTTAAAAAGATGAGCCATCCCTTGATATTTGAGCTGTAATCTAGGTCTTTGGGGAATTAGAAACAATGGCCTTTATCTTACAAATCTCTACAAAACCAGGAATACGACTCCAGAAACAACTTAAATCCTACCTATCCTTACCTTAACTATTCCTCTCAAAATGTTTGTCACTATTGTAAAAGATCAGGGTATTGGAAAAAAATTGTTCTCTACTTAAAAAAAAAAAAAAAAAAAAGTAAATTTTAAATAGCAGTTACCCAGAAACTCTAGAAAAAAGTTTTTACATTCTTTCTCTGTCCCTTGAAATTATAAATCTTATCACATCTTTGAAATGTAAACTCAGCGCACAGTCTCCTGAGACTGAAGAAAAAAAGAGAAAAGTATTTAAAAACTGGGCCTGCAATGTCCTCTCCAGAAATATTAGTAGAAACAAAATTAAAATTTCATTTACATCTTGTCTGTGTATATTGTATGTGTGTGTCCATGTATGTTATAAATGTGAGATATTTTCTCTACCTCTGGATGGTATTGCTAAAATTAATTTGTGAAAGAGCTTTATTTAGCTGATTTGAAGGCACACACTTGTAAGGGGTGGGCATTCTAAAACTCAGATAGAAACTAACCCAAATGTTTTTCAAGTTCACGTGATCTGGGAACATACTTGGTGTTAAAGCTAATCTAAGGTTGTTGGTTTAATTAAAATAGACCTGTCCATAGAATTATCAGCATTGAGTATAAAACTTTTATTCTGCTTGTGTTTTCTAAAAGTCACATAATTTCATGGTATCTCTGTTACAAAATTTATCAAA